CATTTTATTTTTTATTTTACTTTTATTAATTTAAATTTTTTACCTATGTGACTTTACCGAAAAAACCTAAGAATTTGTAATAGCAACCCCCACGTGCAGGTCTGACAATTGCCAACGCACAGTCTCGTGGGAGTGGGGGGGGGGGGTGCAAGCTGAATGGACGTCTTCAATGCCTTCCCCTGAATTTCCCAGGATCACCGTAGTTCAACGGGCGGTCAGGATTTCCGCAGCGACATGCCGGGCACTCTCGGATTTAACATTTTTATAAGGCCCGTACACGCACATGCCTCCCAACACAGCAATAACAACTAATTCTAACCTCTCTTTTTTTTTCTGGTCAACCGGGGCCCTCTCGCCCCGGCTGTCATGAGGCTGCATGAGAGCATTGCTGGGGCCACTCTCTAAGCGCTTTAGCTGGAGGATTATGCCGCATGGCACCCCGAAAGCTGCATGGTGCTTTGGCAGCGCAGGACAAGTGCCGTTTGGGCGTAAGGACACGTGCTGCTGATCCGGGCTCCTACACGTAATTGCGCTTCAACGAACGTCGGAATGCGGGCTTGCGGTGGTGGTGGGTTTTTTTGGCACTAGGGTGGTGTCACAAAAACACGAGGCTGTGTCTCTGTAAAGCGTCAACATAAACGTGAGAGCGGGCGTACAAGCTGGCACCAAAAGTGTGTGATGGGCCGCTCCAAGGCTTTGCACATTCACGCACATACACACACCTGGCCAGCTCGTCCGTACACAATACGTCTTCGATGTCATGCGCAGAGTTATGTCCTCGAATGCAAAACGCTAGAAAATGGAATTGTACGAACGTCCCCGATTTTGGGCCAGCTTAAGATAATAAAAAACCTTTGAACCTACAATTGAGGCTTTCCTCAATAATTAAAGGTCATTATTATGATTATCGATTGGGAAAGAGTTGTTATCAAACCGCACTATGAACCCGGCGACCCCAGTTCAATTCCCGGTCAAGGCGTATTATGTAAGTGGTGAGCAGGGCTTAATCTCAGCTTGATCTGCAGGGGAAAATAGTTTCACACGCGGCATATGCCTCTCCCTATGCCTGTGGCTACGGGTCTGGAAATATAGATGTTCCTGGGGCGATGACCCGGCATAACCACGGCTGAAATGAAGACCTGCTACCAAATGATGTAGTTGACCCTGAGTGCGAACTGAGCTCAGGTCGGCCTGGTTTACAGCCTCAAGTCACCACCTCTCAGCCGATAAGACTCTCGCCCGCCTTTGTGTGTGTAATCTCAAGGACAACCCATGCTTCGACCATATCAGGGCTACAACGTCAACAATGCAGGGGAATGTACACACGACAGAATGACAAGGGTGTATCTTATTTAGAAAATAATATTTTTAAAAAAATCCTTGATGGATCGTGCGCTAAACGCTGTGATGTGTCTGTGCCTACGCTGTGATTCCGTTGCCGAGGAATTGACCTAGGCAGTACAGTGTACCCGGCGTGGTGGTGAAGGCCACCTATGGTTTGTTTGTAGTCTTGGCATGAGATGAGATAAAATGTGTATCATTTAAAACACAAATTATTTGATAACTGCATTTTTTTTTTACGAATGGGATTCGTCAAATGCACTGGCTTGAAAGGATTAACGATATAAAATGCGACGTTTCGGGCACACGGCTTAAGCAGTTACGAGTGCCACGGACAGCGATTGAGATATCAATCATTCAAAATAAGGCAGTATTATTTGACGAATGTGTTTACATTCCTAAAAAAACTAGGCTATTTAATCACAAACGCAGGCTGTTATTAAATATGCATCGTTGTACTCCAAAGCACACCCCCAGTGCCTCATAACGGTAAGGTACGGCCTGCAAGTGTTACACGTGTGTAAATGGTGTTCATGCACAAGCCCTCTTGTCAATCCACTGCTGGACGAGACGTGGGACCTCCAACACTCAACTCGCACCGCTTCAGCATTGCTGGACAGCGCCTCAAGGTGAAGCGGTGGACCAAAGGGCGCGGGAGCATAGAAGTACCGTACAGCACAAGTCTGAATGTTGCTGCGCTGCCCTCTGCTGCCCACCACGTAGCACCCCCCCCCCCCCCACCAGCACCGATAGCATCCCCGTTTTGTGCACGGACTGCTCAATGCACGTGCTTATCCAGGCTGGAGCGCTGCTTAGTTTCTGACATTTGACGAGGTCATTCGCATTCGGATCGATTTGTGGTTGCACTGCGCGCGTCGTATTCTGTGGTCACGCTGCGTTGTTTTGTTGTTGTTGAGTCTAACTTAAAAAGAAAAACGAAATGTCAAAGCGCTACTTGGATTTACAGAATTACGGCGGCTCAACGCACAAATCGTGGGGTTTCTTCAAGAGGAGTGGGATGCGACACGAAGCCGCCGTGATTATTGCTGTAACAACAACAGAAGATGAAGAGACCCGGGCACGGGTTGAGCATCTCCGCGGAGGGGTAGAAAAGAACTGCGATGGAGATCAAACAGATTTAAACAATTCCCTCTCCCCGATTCAACGCGTTCTGTTTACGAATTTGTTCGTGTTTGTGTGTGTGTGCGTGCGCACGTGTGTAGCGTAGCGGTTAGATGCTCGCTCCCCTAGGTCGACTCAGCCTCAAATGAGTACCTTGCACCGTGTGTAAATATCGCCACTGGAGATACAAAGGCAGTCCGGCGTGGTGCTGGCCACCCACCCCCTCGTGTGCCGTGAGGGCACTTGCCCCGACAGTCTGTTAAGGCTACACGAGGGAGCTTTGCCTCTGCTGTTTATACACAAGAACGTGTTTAGTCAATTATACAAATCTCCATGTGGTCAGCAGCCACGAGCCCACGAATGTCCTAGATAATGACACGAAATTAAATACTTTGCGTATAAAAAAATATTGACACAAATTAAGAACTTATTATTATTCCTCGAAGAGTGAATTAGATTGAAATCTGGATGGATCTGGCAGGCACAGACGGCACGGCGAACAGGCAATAACCAGAGGTGTGGACTCGAGTCATGTGACTTGGACTCGAGTCAGACTCGAGTCATGAATTTGATGACTTCAGACTCGACTTGGACTTGCATAACAATGACTTTGTCCCACCTCTGGCAATAACCACTTACGAAACGTATCACCCGCACACGTTTTGAATAATCAACTTTTGTTGATTTAAAAAAAATTGGCACAATTCATAGTCCTGTCATGACGATGAGTGTTGTTCTTTTGTCGCTCGCATTATTTTCTATATACGGAGGAAAATCGCATTTAAATCGCGATGCCCTAGGCAAGAACACTCGTAGAACAAACGACGCGACTCAACGTGAGTTAAAAAAATTAACCCGTAAAAACAAAGTTTTTCTCTATAAATCCTTTATATGCGTGGCGGCTAGAGTCATCTCGTCCTCTGGCTTGAGATGGCTGCCACCTATGGGTCAGATGATTGCCTGCCACCATTAAGCAATTGGTAATTAAATATAAAAAGAATTCCCTAAAAAGTGTAAAAGTTTGGAACAAAAAATTTCACGAAAATTAATTGTCACGCACAACGAGTCTGTGTGCAAAATGTCAGCTCGATTGGATCACGGGAAGTGGGTTAAAAAACGACCGAAAGATTTGCACGGTCGTAAGCGCGCAAGCAAGCAAGTGAACTTAATATAAAGGATTTAATAAAGACTTGAGTGTAAAAAAAAACGTGACATTTCTGAACGCTGTTATTGCAAACACCTTTTCACGGGTGAATGGGATTAAAATAACGTCAAGTCATTTTGGACCCATATTCTGCAAACTAATCGTATAAAATACGCAATCGTACAAAAAACATCACGTGAAAATACTTCATGTGTTCAGCGTGTCTCTTTCTTAATTAGATTCGGATTTTTTTTTATTTTTAGTGGTGGAAACAATTCACTGATATGCGCATAAATGTTGTGATTTCAGAGGTGCAATGTGAATTAATAAATAGGTTAATCTAAAGATCAAGTGAATTAGTGCAACACAAATGAGAGGGGGAGCGAAACGCTGCGTGTCTTGTCAGCATCGGCAGCATCATTTATGATCACAAGCAACATTATCATCATCATTAGCAGCAGCCATGATCAATGCACTCCTGCATTAAGAGCAAACGCAACACTTTAGATCAAACTCAGTCAGCATGGATAAACTCAGCAACATAATGGCTAGATGTGTACGCAATACGCCATGTCCAATAAGTTAATCTGTTTTAAGGAGAGGCTGTGTTTTCGTATCAACACAACCATCAGCATGCAGCATCATCATCAGCATCACGACCATCATAATCAACAGCATGCAGCATCAGCATCATCATCAGCATCACCAGCATGCAACATCATGATCAGCACCACTAGCATCATCATTACCAGCATCATCATCAGCATCACCAGCATCGCCATCATCATAAATCCCACAACTGCATTCGCTAGCAACCACTGACTCACACAAAGGTGGGCTGTACACATCTCCACTCTTACATCCCAGAGCTGCTGCTAAACATTCCACATTACAATCACGAGGACCAGTCCATCCGTAAACCGACAACAGCACTCGCAACAACAAAGCGCCAAAGTTGTGTACAGACATACAAAGATCACCCCAACCCCCCCCCACACATCCAACATTCCGACACAGACTGTTGGGGCAAGTCCTTCACATGACCGTGTAACATAGTTGCGAGCACCGAATGCCGCGGTGTTGTGGCAAGAACCACGCCCGGCCGCCTTTGTCTCCTCCAGTGGCAATCGTTCGTAGTATTCGCCAACTGACCGAACTCCGCTTCAAACCGCTGGGTTTGGAGCGCAACGCGCTCACCGCTGTCCCACCGCTCCCGAGAGAAAAACACACGACAGCGAGCGAGGAGGGAGGGTAGGAGGGAGGGTGATGCATGGGAATGCAAGCACAGATAGAGAACGAGAAGACTTGCAGGGGGCGAGTGGGAAAACAAAGAACGCCACCGAGATTACATCCACTCCATCCCCTCCATCCCTGTCCACAGTTGCTCGCTCACCTACTCCCAACTTCTCTCGCTCCGTAGGCGACCACATGGCGACCCCGGTCCCGGTCCCACTCCCCCACCACCACCACCACCACCTCCCCCCCCCAGCAGCTCTGCGGCTCGACTCGGCTCACGCAGCCCACCCCGGGGGGTGCTTCTTCACTGGTGCCGCCGCCGGTACGCCATGCTGCTGCTGCCGCTGTCAACGCCGCCGCTGCTACTGCTGCTGCTACGACTTGTCACGGTGGCACGCTCGTGTTTCTGAGTCTACCCGCTCGCTCTCCCCTCTCGCTCCCTCCCCTCCTCCTCTCTCTCTCTCTCTCCCCTCCCTTCCCTCCTCTCTCTCTCTCTCCCCTCTCCTCCCTCCCCTCCACCGCGCGTGTGTCGCTGTGCGTTGCAATGTGTCAGTGCGTGGAGACGTCGCGTGGGTCTTTGTGACGTCATTTTTTAAAGAGCAGCTTCGCTTCGACGTCACCGCAGCGGCAGCAGCGACAGGGGGGGGCGTGAAAGTAAAACACGGGTGACGTCATAAGGCAGGGTCGAGTTGGGAAATGTTGGCAAATCGCCTGATGAAGCTGGTTGTTGTTGTTGTTGTAATCGCCGGCGGAAACGTCGTTAACTCAAATTGTAAATGTTGTGGGTTTTACTCTCCAACACACCGGTGTGCTGAAGTAGTCACTGATTTGGGGGGCGTCCATAAATGACGTCACGCGATTTTGGCCGATTTTTGACCCCCCCTCGTCACACGGCATCACAAAAAGTCAGACCCCCCTCTAATATGACGTCACAATGCTCTGCCCCCCCCCCCCTTAAAACCATATTTCCATTTTGAAAATAAAACATGCTTATAATCACTTTAAACTATTGTTGTTGTAGTGCGTATTTAATGTGGCGCTGCACTCTGATGTAGGAAAAACATTTATTAAATAGGAGGCGTTGGAAAGCTGAAATTTGCATAAAATTCACTTGAAAATATTCATCGTCTAACTAAAACTGCAAATGTTCAGAATATTACATTGAAATGTTCTTATAATTATAAAATATTAAAAGTAATTATAACTAAAATACATCTTTAAACTTTGGAGTAGAACGAAGCAAAATGGAGAGTACAATTATCAAATCACAAAATGAAAAGCCCTGGTAGAATGATTAAAATCTAAATGTTTAATAACAATCATTCAAAAAATGCTCCTTCATGGAATAAATAAAAGGTGACCTTAGTAAATTTAAATAATCAAATAGTTAATAATGGAAATTAATTAAAATTAGTGTTGTTTTCACAATTCTATATTTATTTAAAGTTGCGCATTTTTACGTGACGTCACATTTCTCAAACCCCCCCCCTCTCCCCTCTCGTCACACCTCATCACAAATATCTGACCCCCCTCCCCCCCCTAGGTGCGTGACGTCATTTATGGACGGCCCTTTGGCACTTTTTGTTTACGTGACAAAACCTTCCTGACCGGCTGTGCCGGGTGGTGGTGGATTAATAGCTGAATGGGCTTTACCTTGTAAGATTTTTTTTTAATCTTTGTTTAGTTTTATTTGAAAAAATTTTTTAAGTTATTTATTTGCATTTCCTATACTTTGCACTCCTATCGTATTTTTGTTGTGCGACCCCCTACTGGACATCTGTGAAAAAGAGCTTCATAGCTCATCGGATTCCTCCAGTATAAATAAATACATATCAATGATAAAAGCTCTGATGATGTCACTAATTGGCACGTTTTGTACACGTCATTATGTCGTCACGCGCACGGTAACGCGGTGACGTCACCGCGTTACAGTTTCTCGAGCGGCAACGTCACCACCCCCACCCCCACGCGAAGTGACGGAATGACGTCACGACACGCGTTTGCATTTCGTAGAGCGCATAGGAGCGCGCGCGCGCCCCCACCTCAACGGCGGTGGCGGTGCGGTGAATCGCGCGTGTCCAGAGTGCGATATCTAAACGCTCATTTACAACGCTGTCCATCGTCCCCGGCACCACGTGCGGACGCGTTAATTGGCTTCGTTGATTGATTACGAGGAGGAGGGAGGAGGAGAGAGGAGGGGGCAACGCGTGACAGCACCATGGCTGAGGGTGCCGCTGCCGTTGATGAACCAAGTATGAGCTCTGTGTCTTTGTCCCATTGTCGCCTTCGCGTTTTAATCCTGCGGACGGGGTTTTGTAGAGAGACAAACAACGGCACGGATGTTGAAAGCGAGACGAAGACGTTGAGAAGATAGCGCACTCGCGAGGGGCAGAGGCGAGAGGCAGACACGGGGACAGAACGCATAGACGCAGCTACAGACAGAGGGATGTTAAGAAATGTAGTAAATGCGGCAGACACGCGTGTATACTGTATATAAAGATACGGTACTCAGACACGGAGAGGCAAAGATATAGACACGGTGGGATACGAAGAGAGTTGTCAAGGGAGACGCAGAGAGTGTGCATTTGACGCACAATTCAAGAGACCGGGACGGGCAACAGATATACGAATAGACACGAGCAGACAGACGGTGAGAGAGACATAGACATACACAGAAGCATGTCCCGAGCACGTTATCGCTGTCTTCCAGTGAGTCTCCCTGGCGCCGAGAGACGCAGAGCGGGCAAGAGACTGCACAAGGCCCCATAGGCCTCGGATAGTTTGCCCTGCCGGCCAGCGCGCGCCTCGGGCGGCCGAGGCGGGCGAGGTCAGCGGCCCCCTGTGCGGAGTCTGGGAAACCCGTATAAATGTTTCAATTAAACCATTCATCTAAAAAAACACATTTAGCACCTTCTATGTCGTAAATAGACACATATGTGGTGTGTGCTGGGCTATCTGACGCGAGAATTAGGTTTCGTTGAAAAGAAAATTACTTTAAAGTCGGTAAGGGCAATGATGTATTTGTTTTACAATGGAAATTACGATGGGAAATGCTGTGGCAACCTGAAAGTGCACACGTGGACCATGGCCTGAACCATGGCCTGAACGTCAAAGTGACAGATCATTAAAGATACGGCAATTGGGCCTTCATACTTCATTATCCGCCAATAGCACGGTTACTGTTGCCATATAACCAAAGACCTTACAAAGGAAGACGCCTCTTGGTGTGGCACTCACATGGGATATCTTTGGGTGGGGAAAATATCTTTATAGCTCATCGGATTCCTCCGGTGTAAATACATATTCTGATGATGAAGTTCACGCATGTGCTGTGTCAATGACCTGGGAGATAATCCGTGTCGTCATTTTTCAGTTTTTTGGTTTGGCCATGTTTGTTGTAGTACGGAGTAAGGCTTTAATCTAAGTTGTCTTGTGGTTGTTGTTGTTGTTTGACTTGTATCCCACTGGGATTTTTGCACACAGCGTTCGTGTACGGTGTTTTTTCTGAAATATTTTGCTGTCTGTTTGCACTTAGTCACATATTCACTTTAAGATGTTTTCTTGTTTTTGTTTGTTGCGGTTGCACCCGATTCAAGAGCTGAATGGCTCACAGGGCTACACCTAATAAATGAACTTGAACTTGAAATGAATGGCATCGGCACAATCATGGGAATGTGGAATTTCCACGACTGGTTCTTGGCTGTAAAGGCGAGAGGTGCACCAAAACACGTTTGAATTCACTCATTTGTCAACGGTGACTTGTAAAGGGCACTGCATTTCCTTTTACCAATGTAACCCATATACACAAACGCATGCTCTTTTTACAATGTAAACACAGTGGAAACAATGTCTAGAAATATACCTACGTGACTTTACCGAAAGAACCAAAGAGTATGGATTCCTGCAGTCACGAAAGCTTCAAATCAAGATAGAAATAGGCCGTTTCCCAGATGCGTGAGAAATTGGACGCAGGATACGTATAGCGGCATATACGTTTGATTATGGCACTGCAACATTGTGAAATTGCACTGACGCACTATGATGGTCGGCACAGGCTCCCGTTAGATTCGTAAATAAATGTAAAACAATTTAACTAACGGAGAGAAGGTTCCGAGAAACAATCCCAAAACTCGACATGAAACGTTCAGCAGTTCATTAATTCCAACGTTCTGAGCCACCGCATTTTGTGGCGGCATGGATGTAGAACAAATGAACAATGCACTGTTTCATATCACCTTTTACAAACGTGACATGAAAAATTGATGTTTCTCTTTGCTAATTGGCTACAGTTTTTCATATCGTGGAAACCAGCGGGAAGACAATGACTGCACTGCATAAAAGGTGCTCTGCTGTTTTGATTGATTTTTTCTACCCTCCCAATTTACGTACACCGATTCGAACGCTTTCTCTAAAATAGAATAATGCAACGCAGACTGGAAACAGTAATAAATACAAACAAAATGTGATTTATGGACAGCAAAGAGCTACAACTATCTTGCTGCTGCTGCCTAAAATAAAATGGCCACAATTTTGAGTTGGTCATTAAAAACAAGGTTTGATATGCCTTTTATGGTCTCTATAGAGAAGGGCTGTTGCCCAAAATGTCACCTATTGTATATTTCCCTCTGAGGCCACAGTGTTATTGACGAATGTGTTGCAATTGTGTTTGTTATTGTGCTGCGCTGCCAAGAATGCCGCATCACCGAATGGTCTGCAAAACAAGGTTGTGTGCATTACACATGCGGTCCAGTGGTGCCACGTGATATGCCAGGCATCGTGAGAGGATTGTGCCTGTGGTAACAATCGCCCTTTAAAGGGATATTTTTAAAAACAGATGTCGTAGACATTTGCTTAGGCTGTTTTACCCTGGGTTGTGAAGCATATGTGTATAGCTACAAGACGAGATACTGTATATTTGTTTTTCTGAGGTTCCATTTTCATGTAATGCACCCTCGTGATGTTTTACATTGCTACGACTGTGCACTGTGTAGAGGTGCCTTCGCATTACGACGCTACATAAGCATTACTGTCAACCCCTTATCAGTGCCCTAGCTTATTACAGACCAATTCAAACCTTATTGGTCACCCCGTGCCCTTATAAATCTAAACGTTCGTCCTACAAAGTCCCATCACACGGGAGAAACACAAACAAATACTATATATATATTTTTTTGCCCGTATTGAAACGGCTGTACGGCGTATGGACCTGAAAACTCAATTTCCCTGTACAAGAATACGGGTAAACCATATGGGTTGACATGGTATGCATAAGACAGCGTGCTGCACTATGTTTAAAAATTTGGACCACTCTTGAAGACGATGTGAATCACAGTGGCGCTGTTGTTAGCGCCCTGCGCCATGCACTCGTTTCCTGAGTTCGATTCCCTGCCATGGCGACAAACGTCAGTGATTAGTGATATTTGAACCAATTTTGGGCCTCCCCTTGGTCCAGAATAGTATTCATGTGCATGTTAGCTACTGGATGAACCATGCTGTCCATGCTGTGTGTATCATGAGCGTTTATTTTACCAAACTTCACCATACTGGTCGGTGCAGTTTAGAAAATTCGGGGAGCATAGATGTGGGGGCATAGGAGTACAGTTCAGCAGTCCTCTATGTATGTCTGTTGAACTTCGTTCGCACCGTACGTCACCAACCGCGTTAATCAAGGTCCAGGTGAAGGACAACAAACTAAACACTAAAAGCAGTTCTAAAGAAATTAGTTTTCAATCTCGATTTAAAAGTGAACGGCTCCAGTGCCTTCCTAAGACAATGCTGACAACATAGCCCCACAGCAGCCCTCAAATAATTGTCTGCATGGTGATTTCCCATCTAAGCATTATCCAGACTCAAACCTACTTAGCTTTAAAGCTTTGATGAGATCTGGTGCATTACTGCTGATTTAATCATCGACCAGTGGCTTTATAAAAAATGTATGTTGTACATATATTGTTGAATGAAACCATATCTTCATAATCTGAATATTTATACTGGAGGAACCCACTGAGCTATAAAGCTCATTTTCACAAATGTCCAGGATGGACGTGACGAGAAACATTACACATATATCTTGTTTGCCTGGCAGAAGATGGATGGCACAGCGACTGCGTGCTGGAGCCGCTGAATCTTCCGGAGAGTCCGGCGGGCGCGGCGCGGGAGGATGGAGAGGCTGGCGGGGCCGGGGCGTCCGTGCCGTGCGCCCTGTGCGACCACACCGAGACGGACGGCCCCGGCGTCTTGCGACACATGCTGCTGCACCACGACCTGGTGGTGGCCGACGTGAAGCTCGTGGCCGACCTCCCACGGCAAGTGGCATCACGCCGGCAGGATTTTTTAAAATGAATTGACTATGAAAAACGAAATTTTTATTTTATTTTAGCAGCTCTTTTTGCAGAAGCAACCTGGCTATGACAAATGAAAGCTCAACAAAGTGGCTTATGATGTGGAAATGTATATCAGCCAACTAGTTTAAACCAGGGGTCGGCAACCTGCTGCTCCGGAGCCGCATAAGGCTCTTTACTGACTGCTTCTTGACGTAACGTGTATGTGTGTATTCACGTGCATTGCAGCTCTTGAAATAATGAGTTTTGTACTGAATTCGAACAAAAATTGCTATTCTTGTTATTTTGGTTGCCGACCCCTGTTCTTAACACGTGTTGATCCTAAATTTGGGGGAGGAAACCAGAGGGCCCGAAGAAGAATCGATGCGACCACGGGGAGAGAGACATGCAACTTCCAATATGCAGCAGGCGTCAGGGTCGGGATTGAACCCACGACCTGTATACTAGGCGAGGCAGTTACCATCTCGCCACCGTGGTGCCCACGTTCAAATGACTTTTCCATACCCTATTACTTGCATTCTAGCAGTATTGAGTGCAAATACTAAGATGTGAGACCATAAAGATTCTCACAGCTGGAATGTTACAAATTATTGAAAAAAACTACGTTCATATGAATGTGCTTTGCACAGTTATTTGTGACTGGGCTGATAGCATCTTTTCTTTCCACTTGTATTCCGCACCTCCGATTAGCACGGTTGGCTATGCACGGTGTGAAAAAGTTCAACATACATACAACATACATAATCACAGGTGGTTCAAACACAGATTCAATCCCAGGTTCTTAGCAGTGCTGGTCACCCCTTTGACCTCACCACAACCTTGCGTGCATATACAGTAGCGTACATACCACGACTTCGATCAGAAGTAGTAGCTTTTAAGAAAGCAGTATAAGAATTTGACAATCCACCCTGCACTCATGATGGCAGAGGGTAGGAAAGTTTAGCTAGCTTGTCTTGTTAAGAGATTTTGGTCTAGGCCAGGCACAGGATTAGGCTTGTCATAAGACACATAATGACGCACCATCAATCAAGCTACTTGCATCAAATTGTGTATGAAAGAATTTAATATTTACTGTTTATGAGAACGAGAAATGTTGCTCATGTTACAATGAGGCTAACTAAGTGAACGGGGCTGTACGAATGAAATATTCAGAAAAAATTTACATTGGTAAACAGAAAACAATCGATTCTAGAAATGAATTGTGACCCAGAATCTGCATGGGGGGGGGGGGGGCGTAGGAGTGGGGGGGGGGTAATCGTATTTTTACGATTGTGGTTAGCGAGAAAGGTTAGACTTCAAAGGGTTCGGCTAATGCTCGCTTTGAGAGCAGTGCTTTTTAATAATGCTAATCAATATAAAAACTACATGTGCTTATGGATGAGGTGACAGGCAGGGCTTGGCATTTGACCGTGGAAATTGATTTGAATCGTGTGTCTGCGCACTCAATTTTTCATTATATTGCAGAGCTTACTGGTTTTTTTTCTAGTGGGCTGATAGTGTGGTACAGTATACAGAAATATCAGTCACACAAATAAAGGTCAAATTTTTCAATACATGTTTTTACTTGGTCAGTTGTCCCAGACTTTAGCGTGTTTTATATTATATACACACTTTAAATAGCTCTTTAATGTCCCTGTGGTTCTTTTGAATGGCAGTGATCAGATAAAAAAAAGGCCTGTACTAAAAATGTTCTTTTGCCAAATAAAATGTACACTCTGTTACGATTTAACTGCCAAATATCTTTGGTTTACTTTTCCCCATAGATACCTTCTATACTGGAAAAAGAGATTTAAAGAAAAACCAATTAGTGAGTTTTGCAGCGTCATAAGAACAAACACCCAAGCGGCTCCAGGTACGCAAGCACGGACGGACAGACGGACGCACGGCACGCGCTCTTTCGACCACGACTGCCTTCACGCGAAGAGCAGCGAGCGATGATGCGCAACAAAAACTTCTCGGTCCTTGAAACGCTATCGGATCATAATGGGCAATGTTCAGCTCCATTTCCACGTTTAATTGCAAAGCGATTGGAACGAATTATACGAAATGCAATCTCTTAGGCAATTACGATCATTAATTTGTGGGGTTTGTGTTGACTTCTCTCACTTGCGGTTGCCCTGTGTAGTGCATAGTTATGACGGTACAAGTTTTAAGGTCGTTTCAAAATATTTCGTGTTTATTTTTGTGAGCGCCTTTTTAAAAACGTGTTGCCAAGGTGTGCCCTCGCTTGGGGGTTCGAGATGTCATTTTTACGAAGCTGCAATATAACTTCTTGAATTTTCTTCAGGCGACCAAGAAGATTTCCACTTGCTCTGTGACGCCCTTCCTGAAGACCGTCAGCTCAGAGAAACACTGCAACAGAAACGACTGGTAAAACACGACATTGTTTCAACACATTTCTTATGTTTATTCACAAACATTTAGCTCACGTGTTCACTTGGAAGCATCTTCAGGATGTGTGTAGTATGTTTATGGCTGTGCATCGTTTAAGAATATCGTCTTAAAACGCCGCTCGTTGTATGCTTAGATAAGATGCATAATGGGATGTGTATTTAAAAAAGGATCTATAAATAATGCACCACACTTGTCTGGAGCTTGACAAGAAGTGTTATTTTGTTTTGCCATCAGAGAATTAATTTCAACAGCGCCAGTGTCGAATATCCCGGAGGAGACAAATAACAATTTTAAACTTGTCATCTAATTTCATAGATTTTCGTTCTGTTTGTACTTACGCATTCGTTATTGTTTATTTATTATTACATAAAAATACATAGGAAAAGTTAAGTACTCGTGCAAGGAGAGGGGGAAAAAAAACACAGCAGAGGATTAAATAATTCAAAACCCCAAAGTGCACTGCAAATTCACTGAACACGCATCATTTACCTGCAGCTGTGACCAGTGCAGCTGAAGGAATATTGCCCTGTGGGGCTCAGCCAGCGCAGTGGAGAGATTGCCCGGCGGTCTGCTGGAAACATCCAAATATAGCCATCACTCGCTAATTTTTTTTTGCAAATAAACAATTCCAGCCACTGCAGCCATTTGGAGCATCGTTCTCATTTTGCATCAGTCCAGTCATCCATTTCCTCCGCATTTCATGAAGGCCGATTCGTGTGCACTGAATATCGTCTCGCACGAACGGCATGCAACAACAACAACCGCCTTTTGCCACTGAGTGGCGGTAACATCACCACGCCGCTTGTGCCAGCCTATGTGAACTTCGAGACCACGTAAAGTGTCAAAGGTTTTCTGGCAGGAGGTCAAGGGACAGACCCAGATGCCCATGGGTTGACTAATATGACTAGCAGATGCACCACTTGTGAGCCTCTACTGTGCCAACTTGCTGTGTTTTAGCCGCCTGGCGCTCCACTCTTTGTTGTGTGCGTCGCTTCTCTGCCAAGTAGCGTCCTTCACGAGCCTCCTTCACAGAGGCCGATCTTGACACCGCTGGTACCAGTCATTGGCAAGTCCACTCAGCTCCATATCGTCCTTGACCGCATCGGTCCATCTCTTCTCTAGCCTGTGCCTCACCCATTTAGCCCTCTCTATCCAGCCAAACAAAAGCTCTTTGGGCATGCAATGGTTGGGCATGCGGGCTACATGCCCCAGTCAATACAGCCTTGTCTGCCGGAGGAACTCACTAATGGGATTGTGTCCAGATCTTCTCGAACTACGTGGTCGAAAAATATATTAAATAATGTATGAGCGAGAGGACACGCCTGTCGCACCCGAAGGTGAACAGGGAATGGCTCGGACTCTCGGCCACGTGGTCCTCGCACAAATGCCACCCTCCCTCAGCAGTTTGCTTGGGAGATCATCTCTGTCTGGTGCTTTTCCTGATCTCAGACTCTCGATTGCCTTCCATACTTCCTCAACAGGTGGCACCTCAGCCAGCCACTCACAGGGGGTGACTACTTCCAATATTTGAGGTACCGCAGCCCCAGCAGGGCCACCCCCATCTTGTCGATAGATATCATCTACTCTGAGGGATTTCCTCTCCCCTAAGACCTCAAAGAAATGGTCAGCAACCCTGCGAACCTGTTTCTGGAGGTCAGAGACCAGATCACTATTCTTTCACCTAAGGATGGTGATAGGTGTGGCACTGCAAGTTACAGAAATTGAATTTTAAGAGTGATTTATGATCACGAGCTACTGAGCAACACGCAACTTCCAGTCATCCTTGCGGTGCTGCACGACTCTCCGAACCTTCGAGTTCAGGATGTGGTAGAGGCCTTCTCATTCTGCGAGGTGGGATGCTGTAGACGATGGGAATGGGCCTATTCCTTTTTGTCAGCTCTCCGGAATGACTCTTGTCAGCCAGGATTTCTGGAGAGGTCTGGACGGTGTACCCAAAGCAGACATTGCAGCTGCTTGAGCCACAGTCCTAAACCTCACCATTTCCCCTCAGCATCAGAGGAAGGGGGGGGGGGGACGATGAAAATTCCAGCTGCAAGCGATGATTAAATTCTCACTTGCAACTTTCTTCGACTAGCTGAGACCAGGCCACTTTGGCTTTGAATGGGGTCTTAGGTGGACACCCATCTCCACAGTGGAGAGTTGGCAGATTAGCTCCACAGTAGGTCCTGGTGTCAAGGACATGGGCCCGCATCCGCTGTTCCGTCGCTATATATTTCAGATGTTCTTGCTTGGATCCGGTGTGCATCCATGATGTGTGGATGCACCGATGCCGGAACAGTGTCTTGGTAATTACAAGCCCATGAGCTGGACATATGTCCAGCAGCCAGTTGCAGTGTTATTTTGCACGGGGTAGAGCGATGGTGCAGTGATTTGCTCACTGTGCTATGAACCCGGCAATCAAGTTCGATTCCTGGCCCTGGCTAACATCGCTAGTGAGTGAAATCGGAACCGATCCTTGGTTTCCCCATTCATCAACCTGAAGTGACAGGCTTGGAGGGGTATGGTCTGACAATAGTAGACTGAGAGAAGGGCAGTTCGTAGTTTTATTTATTTATGCTTTTGTATAGAGGATGTATGTGGTAAAGGCATGATTGTGTAAAGAATATTTTCGAGCGTGAATGGCATGACCGTGACTCAGTCGGCATTGGTCAGCTGCAGAACATCTGACTTGTCACTTGCCAAAACCTCACATGCATGGTTAATTTCTTCCCGTTCTGAGAGCCCTTCTGTAATTTTCCACTTCAAAATCTTGCACGTGCTCAACCTTCAACCGATTTAACGAGCGAAAACTCGGGAAACTTTACAAAAACAAAGTGGTCATTGAAAGCGCCTTTAACAATTCGGCCGTTGTAGCTGGCGCTGCTCGGCTCTATCGCCTCTTGATGTCTCTCGCTTGCCCCGCAGACCGAGGTGCTGGAACAGCAGCAGAGAGAACGCACGGACTGCACCGTTTCCCGAGATTGCCTCTTCTGTAACGAGCACTTTTCTGGCAACAGGTGCCGTTCCCTACGCGCACGCATAGAACACAAACACAGCGGAGCGCGGGGCACAACGTTCGCACGCCGCTTCGGCATTTCGCGTCCCCACTCCAACCCGACATTTCGGTTTGCCGCCACACTCTCGCCGTTTGTTTAACTTTACGACCCCCGCCAGATGACGGCGGCGGCCGCGGTGTTCTTTGCGGATACCCATGAAAGCCGTGCTTGGCCTGCGTCGGTTTATGCACCACAGGTCGCTGCTGCTTAACCACATGGCGCGGGAACACGCTTTCAGCATTGGCCTGCCCGACAACCTGGTGTACTGCTCCGAATTTCTAGACCTCCTGCAGAGCAAATTAGACAGGTTCGCCAATTTTGCACCACCGCCGCCACCACCACGTATTAGTTTGGGCCATAATTGTATGTCCTCTTTAATCCGATGCGCAGTGTACAGGTGCCTGTTAGCAGCGCGTGCTGTGCCAAATTCATCCTCCCCTCCGTGTTCGCACTGCACAATTACCACTGCCTTGTTGGAATTTAATTATGCGCACTTTTAATGAGCTGTGAATGTTTGAAAAAAATTATACAATTGTTTGGCCTCTTGCCCGCTGGCGGGATTTTCTGTTTCAATCACGTTTACCCGTTTGCCGTGTCCTTTTGTCCGCCGATCTCCATGGCCCAACCTTTGGACGACGTGGCCACAGTCTGTGCTGCCTTTACTGCGGAAAAACCTTTCGAGACAAGAACACATTGAAGGATCACATGCGCAAGAAGCAGCACCGAAGGATAAATGGAAAAAACACAGAGTTCGACCGCTTCTATGTCATAAACTACCTGGTAAGAAGAGCGTGACGTGCCCGCACAGAGCTCAGCCATTAGATATTTCGGTCGTGTAATGCATTTGCTAAATAGGCGAATCTGAAATTGGTAATGATGTGTAACAATTTCAATTAAACGTGTACTTAGGATTTCAGCTTACAGCAAACAATGCTATTCTCTGGACGGCGCCTGCTTTTTTTTTCTCATATTAACATAAAGTCCTAAATTTACACGGAAGAGTCTGTGCTTTTAGTTCACGTCAATTTATCCCAAGTCATGGTGTTAATTTTCACAATGATGTTTCTCATCCTGTGAATTTGAATACATTTTGTCTTGAAATGGACTCTTACCCGCCCACTAATAAAGCAATTTTCACATCAAGCATTGCAATGGCTTTTAATGTGTTGAAACGGCGAGACAAACCTGATCTCATTTTTATTAAATTTGCACACTTTCTGTCTGTTCCATTGCTTTAAGTACCTCTTGGGGTGGAGGATGCGATGAAAAAGAGAATTTATTTATGTTGTGTCTTCATGACAAAAAAAATCATAACGTAATTAAATCACAAAGCTTGTCAGGCACAATATATGCCACATTGCATGTAGAAACTTGCAGGTTGCAGCTGTGAAACCTCAACATCCCAGCCAGAATTGTAATCAAGGTCTTTCGGCTCATGTCGTTCCACTTTTGAGCTATAACGATGACGTGTTTTTTTTGTCCGCAGGAATTTGGAAAGAAATGGGAGGAGGTTCTTTCTGAGGACGCGACGAGAGATGACGCGACTGACGAGGCGAATGACGACGAGTAAGCGACACCTGGAAGAGCGTGCGACGGACAGCGAATGTGCTCTCACAAACAATGTTTGATTTTTTTTTTTTGCGTCGGGGTAGGGATTGGGGCGTAGCTGTTGGCCAGACGACGTATCGGTTTAGGGGAGGGGAGTAAACAAAGTAAAAATAAATCACATGGTGCACATCGTAGTGCTAAACGCAATTATCGGGCCAGTATCCCATGTGGATTGTACTGACTGTACCACTTTAATTACCTTCTGGATGTCGGGAGCTAATTGAGGATTTGAGGTTATTTTTTTTTATAACGCGATGCGGTTTGCATTTGCTCGCTGGCTAATGACATGAAAAGCTGCTTTTAATGCAGCTGACAAAGCGGAAACAATATTCCGTTCAAAATAACTGATGTTTCAAGAATACGGAGCATAAAATTGACAATAAACTGGCCACTTCTCAAGTATCAAATATGCATAAAATCTGGATTAGCATTATTATCTATACACGCACCGAAAAAAAAACTGCAAACCTCTAGTGTATACAGTATAATTCATATAGTAAAACGAATCTACATCAATGTTTGAATTTAACATGTATATCTTGCAGGAACAATGGGTTTTTAAATGCCCATCTTTTTCACCTCCATAATTAACTCCATAGGGAATTTAATGACTCATTTTACAAATCGGTTGGAGTGGGGGAAAAAAAGCCTGGACCCTAGGGAGGCAATGGCGACAGGAGACCACTGCAGCAATACATTGAAAATGGTGGCTCCTCTCCAATGTCATCAGCCATACACCATGCAGAATGGCGACACACACACACACGTAGTTTACGTGGTGGAAGCAGCCTGTACTCGCGTTTGTAGGGATACAGCAGCCCCTGTCGGCAGTTTTTGGTGATGAGTGAATATGCGCTACCATCTCGAGTAAGGCAGCTCAAATTGGGTAACATCAAACACGAGTCGTCGTTTCACACGGTAGATGCGTTCCTGAAAAGTGCCGCTTTAAGCGAACAAAAAATTCCCCATAAATAACGGAACAATAAAGTTTGGCGAGATACGATGTAATACTACGCACACCACCCAGTCAGATGGCAGGACAACTGAGGTTACGCCGCTGCGTTATTGTATCATTCTGCGTCCCGTATCGCACCGTTCAGCCGCGCAGCTCAATAAAGTAGTTTGTCGACCGCTCACAAACCGCGTGATAACGGTTCGCGCTCCGCGTTATGCGGTGTCCCCGAATGGAAGAACCCCGTTAAAGCAAAAACACGTTGTGTGCGAACACGCGTTAAGCAAGGACTTACCGTACAGTAAAATAAAATGGGGTAAAATCAAAAATGGCTAGCCTTTTTTTCTTCTAACATTTCATCCCCCCTCCACCCGCAGTGACTGGTCCGACTGGAAGGAACACCCAGTGTGCGCCGTTTGCCTGTTCTGTGACCACATGACCGATACCACGGACAGCCTCCATCAACACATGCAGGTTGTCGGCCGTCTTATTGTTACGTCTCTAAACTTGTCACCGAGGGGAGGTCACCGCCGAGGTGCCACCTCTGGTTGCCACTGCTCAGATCCCGATTTTGCATTCAAGTGGCCGCTTGTGATTATAACTGGGTGCTCAAGTTTAGTCACCAATGACCGCACAATAAAATATCCCACATTACATTTGAATTTTGCACTTAATTAGGCTACATTTTCCAGCTCTGAGAATTAGATATATCCACTTGACCGTCATGCGACAAACATTTTTCTTTGTAGCAAGGTGGGTGGGAAAGTGTTCCCTCCTAGTGCGTGGATCAGAGTTCATTTGAAAGGCTCTCAGTCGTTTGCAGGCCGTTCTCGAACACGTGGTGTTGCACTGCAATGTGGGAGTTCCCAGTGGATTCTGTCTCACGACAAGATGCTGATACCACAATCGGCATAAAAATATGGGAAAAGAGACAAAACTAAATCGATATTTGATCAATTGATGCACCCTACCACCCCGAGTGAACGCCTATCGTGCAGTCTTCACGTCGCCCATGGTGTCCGATTCGTTCTTACCGCCCCCCACCCCTTCTCTGCCATCGTCTGCGCAGGAGCACCATGGGTTCGACCTTCCCACGGTGAGAACCTCGCTGGGCCTGCGCTTCTACCAGCAGGTGAAGCTCGTCAACTTCATCCGGAGGCAGGTGCACATGCTGCGCTGCTACGGCTGCGGGCAACGCTGCTCCTCGCGGGAGCAACTCCTGGAGCACATGGCGGACGTGGGTCACATGGCCACGCTGCCCGATCGCGGCGAGTGGGACCAGCCCCAGTGAGAGATTCCCCGAGGCTTTTACCCGTACATCATCCTCTTCATTATCAGCCGTTATCAATCCCCTGCTGGGTCACGCATTGTGACAATCCATCGAGCAACTGCACACGAGGGTTGTACACACCAGGGCAGCGGAGTGGCAGTCGTTCGCGCACTGCGTATATATTAACGCAGCAACCCCAGTTCAGGTTCCTTGCCACAGCTAACGTCAATGGCGAGTGATATCGGAAACTGTTCTAGGCGCCCAATCACCAATACACACTATCATGAAGTTAAAATGACCCCTGTGACCGGCACGGTGGGGGAAGGCCTTCAATCCAGGAGTCGATCGACAAAGGCTGTAAAAAAAAACAACTTCAAACGTTCACACTGGCCTAACTAAGCGTGACCTCGTGTGTGCGCGCGCGCGCAACCGCAGGTACTACTTCCCGACGTACGAGAACGACACCTTGCTGTGCGGGCTGCCGGACAGTGAGGACGACGACGACGACGGCGATGAGAGGGGAGGTCCGGGCGACGTGCCAGGTCATCGCTGAGGACAGGCCGAGCCCTGGAAGCGTGCGCAAGTGCAGCGTGCTCAACCAGCTCCTACGCAGTGCCGGCACTGCCGACGACTACTCGTAACCAGGGCTTCATTTCAACCAGGGGGGGCTGTCTGGTTCACTAAATATTCAACCCAGAAATTATTTCCACAAACCTGGCAACACCGTATCCAATGTACGTACCCTTTCGCTCGAGCTGATCATCGCGTGCAAACCTGCCAGCCACTCCGAAAATACTTGGTGACAAATTAAGCCCAGCTTGTGACACACCAGCCAATTCCCCCCGAATCATAGCAAGTGAACCGCAGTAGCAAAAAGTGCAATTGCATAACTGTGGCAGGCGACCATCAAGCAAAGTGTTTATTTCTGGTAAACCTGAACTAGAAACGAGCGATTTTTGAAACTATTTTGTTGATGTAAGTGGAAGATGAGCAATTTGGCTCTAATAGTGCACTTCAGCTGAAATGATGCGAGGCAAATTTCAGTGTCTGTAATTCTGACAATAAACATGTGGCCTTGCAGTGGCAACTGAAGCTCTAACTTCACACTGTCTTAATAATAAATGATTAATTGCCAACATGTGTAACGTCCTGGAAATTACTATTGTGTGTTCAATTACAACGTAGCCACAGAGAAGAATGGGATATTTTACAATGTTAACCACATTTGCACATTTTAAAATATACCACAAAAGCAATCATTGTCCGTAACCTTTATTCCAGGGCACAAACCATTCACAACACACACCGGGTACATGAGATCCAAAACCGTGAAGGCTCAACTCACATCAAGTCCAACCAGTCCGAGAACATTTCGTTAAATTAATTTTGTAACCTTAGCACTTTTTCAAAACGGGTATTTGTCAAAAACATTTTTTTACAAAGTGCTGCTTGGTCAACTGCACAACGTTTAGACTGGAGGCCCTGTTTTTAAGGTGGGGGGGGGGGGGGGGGAATGCCTTCATGGCTTATCCAGCAACCATGTCACACTATGGCCTGCTCCAGAGGAGACTTTAACGTGATCTTTTAACGCAGGGGCGGGAAGCCTTTTCCTTACCGAGGGCCGAGTACAACTTTAAGATATCTTTGGCGGCCAGTCAACTCATAAGCACGATTCATTCACTCGTCACTGCAAGAGGCCCTTGCGATAACTGTGGCTGAGTACACGAGATTTAGAAAGTGTTGTAGCCAGGTTTAAATTATCGATTAGCCTGACTTAAGAGGAGTAGAGTAACATTAAAACATATTTTCGGGCTGCTTCCAAGTGGTAGGCCATTCGCCCCTGTGGCCGTGGGCCAGATTAAATGACGGTTCTCAACCCACGTTTTATCACGTGTGTACTGTATGCTGAACATCTTTCGCACCGTACGTAGCTTATTGGAGGTGCGGGGGGGGGACATGCGCAGACGCAGCGGTCAATAACCCCACACGGTAGTGAGCCACTCCCCTCGTCGGTGGCATTCACCACAGTGCAAAAGGAGCTATTTGTTGGAAAAGGGGAAAAACTTGGCCTGAAGAAGAAACGAGGTCAACCGGTGGACAAGTTGTGTTCCCAAGATGCACAGTTTAAAGACAGGATCAGTATGTATGTGAGCGGCGTGTGCGTTTATCAATGATAAATAATTGTAAAAAATATAAACAAAGTAACCTCCATCGATGGAGTGAAGAATCTTTTTTTCATATATATTGGCACTTTTAGAATTTGGAGTCTATCGCTTGCAAGCCGCATTGTACAGCCTCACTTTTGCCTTGGGATTTTGTTTGGTATAAAGATGATAATTATTTAATGGGAATGTGAGACATCTCCTGGCAAGTGCACTTTGATTAATAACTAAGTGGTGCTATTAAAACCTTTACGTGTAGCAAACATCCAATGGCAAGAATATTAATGACATTCAGCGTGACGCTTCCGCCTTTTGACTTGCGATTTTAAAATGCATCAGAACTTTTGCCTTAACAAAAGGAGCCTCGGTGCCAAACACAAGTTGAAATTGTATTTTAAAAAAAGTTTAATCGCCCCTACAACGTAATATCCTGAAAGCATTTTCGGTAAAATATATTTTCTCAAACGCTTAGTGTTAACGCATGTATGTATGCATGCTGAACTTCTTTCGCGCCGTACGTAGCTAACCGTGCTAATCAGAGGTTAATGCCGGGGAAAAGGGCTGCTTTCACGTAAGGGTATGACCAATTGTGGATTAATTTAACGCCACTAAAAAGTGATGCATTGTAACATGATTTTGAAATAAAGTGGCAAATGTCAGATTAATTATAACTCGGGCAAAAAAATGGAACTGATAGCATTTGTTGCAAACCTACTTACCAATTTGGTGGTATATTTTGATTTATAAAAGCCCCACCATATTCTTACAAAAAAAAACAACAAAAGCAACCGCAACAAAAAACCAGTCATAGTAATTATTGTGCAGGGGACAAAGGAATATAATGAATAATACAAAACACAAAAACCCAACCACGCAATGTGTGATACGTGCAACACCTAAGGCTTTGCAAAAACAAGAAAGTGTTTAATTAGTCCTGCTTATGTGTGCCGCAGTGCAGTCGCTGGAACTATGCAATGAAACAAGCCTTGAGCCTGCCTTCTTAATTTGAATGAGATGGCCTCCGTAATTTTTATTTTCTTAACGCAGCACACTGTTGACGTGACCGCGGGTCTGAACATAGACCACAACAGACGCAAATTACAAACGCGCCGATTTTAAATACCAACAACTCCATTAAAAAGATAACCCTTCGGTGACTTCACTCCTTAAAACTTGTACAGAACAAACAAGTGCAGGCCAATTTATTCTTTGCGAGGAAGGATGGAAGAGGACTAATGTAGAAGAGCCCCGATTCTTTTGCAGCTGAACATCATGTTCTTAACATGAATTAATGACGGACAACATGAAAACTGCAAACAGAAAAAGATGAATCCGGCACGGTGACAAAAAAAACGTGCTTGTAACCAGTGTCCAAGTGCTCCCCCCCCCCGCTCCCTGATAACGCCAGGTGCCGCGCGACGACGGTGACGACGACGACCTCCTTAAAAATTGCACGCTCACGACTTGACGAGCTTGAAGCCATGTCCCGTGTCGAGCGCCGCCGGCGGGAACCAGCGCAGCTTGATGCGCCGGAAGCAACGCGAGCAAACCTCGCACAGCACGCCCAGGCCCAGCCCCAGGCCGAAGCCGCCCAGCCGGTCGCAGCAGGCGCACGACGCCGCTCGCACCAGCGGCCTGAGCGGGCGCGGGAAGTACGCCGATCCGGCGGCGGCGTCCTCCGGCACCCGCATGCGGTAGTCGCCCCACGAGGAGGACACGCCGTAGACGGCGCCCGCGCTGCCGCACTTCTCCTCCCACGTGGCGGCGCCGCCGCCGCAGTTGAAGTCGACCCAGCGGCGCGTGAACTCGCCCGGGAGCGAGGCGCCCGCGCCGTCCATCGTCACGACCGCGTCCGCGTCGCTCGCCGTCCGGAAGATGACGGCCGCCTGCACGGCGACGAAGCCCTGCGGGCCGGCGAGGCGACGCACATCGCGTGCCCACTGGGCGCCGCTCTCGCAGTCGAGCACCACGATGAGGCGACACGGGTGGGGCCCGCTCCGCTCCTTCCACCACTCGAGCAGGGTCTCCAGCTTCAGAGATTCTCCCCCTGCAGAATATCCACCGCTGGATGACGGCCTCCCTATACAGCGTGGGTCGTGAGGGTTTATTTGAACTAGTTCACGGCGCCGATCGACACAGGTTGGTCAAGGCGTGCAGGATATACACGGTAGCATAGCAGTACACAACAACAACAGTGGATTTTGTTGCACTGCCCACAAAGTTGTTGGGGCAAGGCAGCCTTGAGCCAAAACATTACAAAAAACATTGCACACACCTTACCCCACCACAGATGACCTGCCTAGTGACTGGCGTATCCATCATTTATGTCGCTGGGTGGAAAGAGGTAGTGGGATTTTAAAAAACCTACCCATTATTTCGACTGCCGTGCCAGGAGAACACAGAGAACCGGCGATCTCTGATAAGTCCTGTGCGCTAAACCATTACACCACGGCAGCAATCGTCTACACCTTGAGAACCAGATTTAAAACATCGGCAGCTGAAATCCAGCTTCAAACCCAGGTCCCAGGAGCAGTGCCAGCTCATCTCTCCGACCTCCGAGTCGCCCGAATTAATTTTAAATCAGTTCGCTGAATCATCTACAACAGGGGTCCCGGCAACCAAAATAACAAGAGCCATTTTTTTTTCGAATTCGGTAACAAAAAAATATTTCAAGAGCAGCACCGAGACGGTAACAAAACAACAACAGTCCTTAAATAGCCGCATGCGGCTCCGGAGGCGCAGTTTGCCGACCCCCTGACCTACAACATCATCATCATCATGGCACACCACGTCGTCGGGAAACTCACCTGCCAGCGCCCAGTCTCCCGTGCTGTGCGTGTGCCCGCTGTAGTAGAGGATGTAAGTGTCGTGCCGCGGCCCGTCCTGCGTGCGCATGTCGAAGAAGGTGCGCAGCTTCGCCTGCAGGTACTCGAGCGTGAGGCCGCTCGTGCAGTAGTCGCAGCCAAACGTCTCCACCATGTGGTGCGCAAAGAAACGCTGCACCGTGTGCAGCGTGCCCGTCGAGCGCACGTTCAGGCTCTCCACCAGCTCAGGCGGCAGCAGCAGAGGCTGCCCGTCCGGGCTGGCGCACGCACGGAACCAAAGGAGGTTACGGGGGGGATTAGAAGTTGTCGGTCGTCAACACAGCTGGTGACGAATAATAGACTAAGAATCGTCAACGACTACTTTTGCTCTGGACGCCCCGACATTCTGCCTCTCGAAGGTCGGAAACCTCCTAAAAGCGACGCCCATTATGACATGGCTCATGATGTTCATGTCACCAAGCCCACTCCATCACCAACTAACATTGCACAATGTTGGGCCTTATGAATGCGGCAAAGGGATCTCGAGGTCAAAAAAAAAAGGAAATTGCCATAAGAAGTGTTGCTTTTGAGCAGAGGCTCCATGTCAACTTCTCAACAAAGAGTGGATGAGCTTTCTCATTCGCAGCCCCAAGTCTGCAATACCCTCCCACTCCACATCCGACAAATCGACTCCATCACATTGTTCAATATAAACTAAAGACCTTTTTATTCATCCAGGCATATGCTGATGAATTGGACCTTTCACCGATCGGTATAAATTAAACTTTTGGCACTCCACCGCCCCATCCTGTGAAGGTTTCCCGGCTTGAGTGAGACAAGTTGGGATTGTGGTCTGGTATGCGAAGACCTAACGGACTAACTTCTCTGTTGTGATTACTTTGTTTTGTTGTGTGTGCATTTTGTTTTTGAGCCATTTCTTGATTTGCTTTTTCATTTTTTTCTGAGGGTTTTTATTTTGCTCGGGAGTAGCTGTCCATTGTATTTGGCCCTTGTATATAATTAGCGTTGTGAGAACAGCGTTGTGAATGACGCTATTGTTTGAAGTGGGTGTAAACAACAGCTCTCTCTACTTTGTTGACATTAGGGCGACAGTTTGAATATTCATAAACAAAAGAGAGAACCACGAGTAATACAGTAGCTACTCTTAGGCTTTTTTTCGGTAAAGTCACGTAGGTAAAAAAAAAAAAGTAAAAAAATTATAGAAATAAAATAATTACGTTATAAAAATATTTATTTTAATAGTAATTGAAATAAAATATTTATTTTATTAAAATAATTATTTCATTTCTATTATTATTTCTATTATTTGTATTATTACATTTGTATTATTTCTTTTTACCTACGTGACTCGACCGAAAAAACCTAAGAGTGTGAATCCTTGCAGTCACGAAAGCTTAAAATCTAGAATTAATACAGTACCTGCAGTAGGCAGTCGGGATGATGAGTGCGTAACCCACACAGGTTCCCCCGAGGCAGCTGCCAAGCTCGTGGAAGAGGCCAAAGAGGAGCGATTCCAGCGGCAGGATGATCAGGAAAGCAGCCATGAAAGTGCCGTTGTGTGCCTGCAATGCCATGCCACCGCAAACACACCACCACCGCCACATTTAAACTCACATTTGCAGTTCTATAAAAAAAAAAAAGAGGCAACCAAAATAGGTTGCCCGCTACTTTCAAGAAGCGACATCGAATGGCCCAGCTCAGTTTGTAACTCTCATGAGAAATCTAGTTGCTGCGTCTTATCATCTACATTGTCATCAGACACTATCCACTGCTGGATGAAGGCCTCCACAAGCAGTCGCCACCTCTCACGGTCCTGCGATACGACAATGCACTGGTTTCGATTTAAAGCTTTCGTGACTGCATGGATTCATATTCTTGGTTCTTTCAGTAAAGTCACGTAGAAGGGAAATAATAAAAAGAAAACATAATAAGATAAAATTCTCACGACGTTTCAGCCACAACGCAAGCAGCCGTCCTGTGCCCGCGTTGTGGCCGAAACGTCGTGAGAATTTTATCTTATTAGGTTTGATTTTTATTATTTTATTATTTCCCTTCTCCGTGACTTTACCGAAAGAACCAAGAATAAGAATAAAAATGCACTGGTAGAAAACTTTTGTTATTTATTCACGTTGGTATTTCGCTTTTTCTAACCAAGTTAAAATACAAATGTACAAAAGCACTCTCACCTGTTCTCAAATGATCCTCATCTACCTTCAATGACGGCTCTCAGTATTCAAAATCTGATGTTTTCCAGTTAGAAGAACATATGCCCCATATTATTAGATAATATACATTATTTAGGTTGCAAACGGGTAAAGATGCCGCCCTTGCATCTACCTACTCGCACCACTGCTGATGGAAAGGCCTCCACTGCAGGGAGCTCTAGAGGTATTTGGCCTACTCTACCCACACTTTACCCCACCACACGTGACCTGCCAATTGACTGTGGCACACCCATTCGTACTGCTCGGTGGACAGAGGCGGGAAGGGGAGGGAATTTAAGAAACTTGCACCATTGCTGCAACTGCTGAGTCGGCAGATCAAATCGAATCGGCGACCTTAAATTGCAAGTCCAGCATGCTAACCGTTACACCGCGGGCAACAACCCCATTACATTCATGTACAACTTATTTCGCACCGTACGTAGCCAACCGTGCTAATCGGAGGTGCGTGGGGAAGGACAACCAAACACAAAAAAGCAGTTCCAGTTCAGTACATTGGTTCTGTCCGTGAAACGAAACACATTAACAATTTGCAAACTGCATAAAAATGTATCACAGCGCAACCCGACCACCACATCTCCCCTTTACCTGCCAGCACACGGCCCCCAGCAGAGAGGTGGACATGAGGGCCCCGAACACCAGGCGCTCGGCCACCAGGCAGAAGTGACGCATGCCACGCGATGCCATCACGCCGTCGAGCCCCTTGCCGCTGGCGCGCAGCAGCGTGTACGCGCCCAGGCAGTCCGTCAGCTTGTTGTGGAAGGCCCAGAGCGACGCCACCAGCGCCAGGTGGCAGCCCAGCCACAGGATGCCAAACACCACGAAGCCCGGGATGACGATGTACCAGCGGTGCAGGTCGGCGAGAGCGCAGGCCGACAGCGCCAGGAAGAACAGCTCGGTCGCAGCCAGTGCCAGCACCGAGAGGCGACGCAAGCTGTTGCGCATCTATGGTTGGGGGGGAGGGGGGCGTCGCATCCACGGACACGCATCAGGAATTAATTTTCTTGGTTCTTTCGGTAAAGTCACGTAGAAGGAAAATAATAAAATAATAAAAATAAAACATAATAAAATAATTCTCACGACGTTTCGGCCACAACGCAAGCAGCCGTCTTCAGGTGGAGAGCAGGTCTGTCGAGGAGACAGACTCTGTCTGTCTACTTCTACGTGACTTTACCGAAAGAACCAAGAAGATGAATCCCTGCAGTCACGAAAGCTTTAAATCGAAACACATCAGGAAGTTTCGCGCACTGGGGCGGTCCAGTGGCTCGGCGAGATGATGTTTTGTGTGTACGTTGTATTGAGAACTTCTTTTGCACCGTACGTAGTTAACCGTGCTATTCGGAGGTGCGGGGTGGGAAGAACAAAAAAGCACCGAGCCATCAGCCGCCCGTGAACAGACTGGGTTCTCGAGTGTCGCGAGTTGATGGTCCCGGGCTGATCGCCAATAACTACATGTAGAAAAACGTCACACAGATTTCACTAAATTTGGCTTCGTCCATTTCTGAGAAATGAATATGTTGGTTTTAATGACGTGCGACACTTCTCAGGGCATTTCAAAGTTGCGCGCTTAGTGGGTAAAGAAGCCTGTTACATTCACGATTAGTTCCGCAATGTTATCTTTGGGCACCAGTCTCCAACAGAGCTCTCCAATACTCGCTGCCAGAGCTCCATTTAGAGACGTTTTTGACTTCAGGCACAGAGCTAACAAAGCCATCGTTACATAATTTGGAGTCAAAAAGTTAAAACAGAACAAGCTGCACTCCCGTGAGCCGCTTTGAGCACGGCACCAACCAAACATTCCCGGTGCAAGTGGCGAACGGCAAAGCGTGAATATTACACGACTTGCATCTCCCATAGGACCGGCCTGAAGCGTTTGTTAAGTGTTACAAATTTCGTCTAATAATGTTGCTTCACAACAATGCTTTATATCTGTTGCCCCGTTTAACATAAGCAGCGGAGATGGACACATTCAAAAACGTTCCAGCATTTAACATGAAGCTAGGAGCAGAAAAGTTGGACCTATAGATCGCAGCATTTATGATCATCATCGTCAGCGACTGGCTAGCCACTGCCACTGAAGGGAGCTCATTGCTCAGTCTCCTTGGTTGAAGAATGGAGCATAAAAAATCCAATAAGATCAATCCTGACGCGCGCACACATGTTACGCATGTATTCTGAACTTAAAAACCCATAGGGAAATTAACAAATGGTTATACCTCCAGCGCATGTACTGTTCATTGTGTTAATCCAATGCTGGGTGAGGGCCTTCCCATGCCTTTCGGGACATCATATTTGACCATACTTCAGGACACTGGTCAGTGTGGTCTGAAGTTGGGGAGAACTGCAAAACAATTGATTCTGCAGCACTTGCCATTCACAGTTAACTGTAATGGTTTCATGTGGCGCCTAAGGCTACTAGTGGCAGCAACATTCACCATCATCCTATTGAAGACACAATTTTATAACCATTATGTTGACATTGTAATGTGTTTACCCTATATTGCATTGCATTTGTATTGATCTCTAGATGAAATGCTTTTATTGATCTTCTTCTGAATAATTACTGACCGTTTTTATTGCTTATATATTACTGTTACTGTTGTATTTCTGAAGCGCCTTGTAACGATTTGTTGTGACGGCCACGATACCTAAAAAAAGATTGTTTGATTAAAGATTGATAGATAAGTAAAACACCATTGCTATATCCAATCACGACCCTGACTAGCGACAACTCATCGAATCGCAACCGTGGGTGAAATAATTCAACCTCTAAATCGGTATTAGCGGCACTGCAGGCTTGAACGGGGAGGGCACCGGCAAGCGCCGGGCAATCACCTGCAGGTACGGCTGCCAGCGCTCCGTCACCGACAGGCCGCAGAAGTACAGATCGAGCAGTGGGCCGGCTACGAGGCGGCCAAAGAAGCAGCCCAACGCGTACGGGTTCACGGAGACGCCCAGCGACGGGAAGAAGAGCAGCGCCGTGAGCAGGCTGAACGCCACCAGGTTGAGGGGCGCCAAGAAAGACTTCATGCGCAGGTCGGCGATGCAGAGGCCAACGGCGCACGCAAGCAGCACCACGTTGGCGCACTGCGGCGCCAGCATGGCCGTGCTCGCCACCGAGAAGCCGAGCAGCTGCAGCAGCTCGGCGCCAGTGACAAGCGTCGGCGTGCGGCGAGTGTAGCCGCAGACGCGCTCCACTAGGGCCCACAGCAGCTTGAGGGCCACGCTGGTCAGCAGCAGGTACCTGGGGAACAGCGGTGGCGGACGAACGTCAGCGGAAGGCCTGTTTGTTGGTGCCGTGCTCAAAGCGGCTCACGGGAGTGCAGCTTGTTGTTTGAACTTTTTTTTTTGGCTCCGAATTATGTAACGATGGCACTGTTAGCTCTGTGCCTCAAGTCAAAGATGTCTCTAAATGGAGCTCTGGCAGCGAGTAGTGGAGAGCTCTGTTGGAGACTGGCGCCCAAAGATGGCATTGCGGAACTACTTGTGAATGCACTCTTAACAGGCCTCTTTACCCACTATGAATGTATTCCGTTGCAGTCAACTCTCGATTGGCCTACATCCAACAACATCTGCAAATGATGGGAAAACCCATCACAACGGTGGAACGTGTACAGGCTGGAAACAAATACTAACAGATATGAGTTGGTGGCTGAAACCAGTGGTTCTCAACCGGGGTTACGTGGACCCCTAGGGGTAAGTGGCAATGTCCCAGGGGGTACGCGAGGTGATTTATAAATGTGTGAAATTATATCAAACATGAGTCATTGGTGTTTGAATCTGGCAATATAAAATAACTACGGTAACATTTAAATCCATAAGGTAACATAGAACGATATAACAGACATTTAGAAACTCATTGATCGCGAACAATGTGGTTTCCAAGAGTAACTAACAGGCCCAAACAAATTAACTCGTGCAACGAGTGTCTACTAGCTAGTTCGGATAATTAGCTAAATTGACAATTGGTTAAAAACATACTGATGTGAATTATTCATACCTTCATTTCTCAGAAACATGTTGGGTTGAAACAAAATTCAACACGGGGTTACAGTAGCCAAACAAAAGTTGAGAACCACTGGTTGAAACAATCGCAGAGCCACATTCCACTCTTGTGGTAGTGGTCTGAACGAAGGTAAGAGCAATGTATATGTAATGTGCCGATCACATGACATGCATGTCGTTAAACCTTCTCTATTAGCCGGGTTGCAGATTAACCATGCTCATTTGGAGCACCCTTCACGTGCTGCGCTGGTTCTCTATTTAGTTGTACCTCACTTGTGAATGGGCCAATGACTCAGTGCCCGCGTCAACAAGTAAACCTGTTACATTAAGAGGAAATAGAAACATACGACACATTCTCTGTTTTAACCCTGATGCCATGTCATTTACTTATCTTTTTCAATATCTGTATATTTTTTTCGAGCAACAGCTCTCCTGGCTATGCCCAGGATAATCAAGAGTTGACTGTAAATGTTTTGCCCACAGGAGCAGCTCCGAGTTGAAGTTAAAACAGAGCAACGTTTGTGCAACAATGCTGCTTTGTACATGTCCAGCCCTTTGGTCAATCCACTGCTGGATGAGGGCCTTCCCCCATGCCATACAGGTTGCGGGGGTTATTGGCTAAACTGGGTGGAGCCTTCTTCTTGGTTCTTTCGGTAAAGTCACGTAGAAGGAAAGTAATAAAATAATAAAAATAAAACATAATAAAAATAATTCTCACGACGTTTCGGCCACAACGCAAGCAGCCGTCCTCAGGTGAAAACCAGGTCTGTCGAGGCGATAGCGTCTGAATGAAACAGCACCATGCTTGGAGCATATATTTAAGCTGGGTTGGATGGGAGGGAAAGGGCGCCTTGACAAAATAATTTGCATATCAAGAGGTATTTAGCATATTTATGGGTTGTGGCCGAAACGTCATGAGAATTATTTTATTATGTTTTATTTTTATTATTTTATTACTTCCCTTCTACGTGACTTTACCGAAAGAACCAAGAAGATGAATCCCTGCAGTCACGAAAGCTTTAAATTGGGTGGAGCCTGTATAGCGCTGGCCTGGGTGATCACCATGCACAAGCAGGATGTCATAGGTTGCGTGGAAATGTGGAAGGTGGTGCAGAGACATCGATTGTTGTATTTTCCTTCTCGATCTCCCAATGTTGACTCACCTTCAGTGGCCCACACTGGTCATCGTGGACGAGTGAATGCAGGGAGCCTTAACATGTTGCTTATAACAATGATCGTATCTTTGTTGCTCAATTTTAATGAGCTGCAAGGCTACACACAATTGCAGTGTTTCATACAGATTAATGTACAGCAGGTGTAATTATTACCACACTTGCACTATAAAAGCCGGCCACTGGGGTTCGATTCCTGGCCATGGCTAACATCAGCGACGATTGATATCTGAACCTGGTCTGGGCCCACCCTTCTCAAAACCCGTCGTACACTGGCCAGCGTGGTGAAGTAGAGTAAAGTAGAGCCAAACAACCGCTGGCTGACGTAGTGTACGGAAAGCCTTTATCCAGCAAAGGATCGAAGTGAGGTACGACACTTGAAGAGAGCACCAAGCTAAGAGTAGAACATTTTCAAAGCTTAAATTCAACTTTCATCGTGAGTCACTCTGTCGTTAGATTGCTTGAAGAAAGCTTCCCCATTCTCAGTTGCCAGCCATTACGCCTTATGTGTCCCAACTTATAGGGCAGGTGTGTCCTCCATGCTCACTGCATATGCAGAGCTCAACACGTTAACATCACATACGTGGCAAGTATTTGAAGTTATGTTTGCCTTGTGGGCGTTGCACATTTTTTATGTATTTATTCAAACAAGCGTATACTGTATGTATAATTAATCAAAACATTGGCATCATGAGGCTAACCACAGCACTATTAAATTTTAAAGACATTACTTTGTGCACATTTTACTTGACGTGGATGGCCTTGCGATGCTCACTACGTGTCAATTAAAAGACTAGGCTGACGACATCGTACATTAATGACAGTACAGGAGGGAAATACTAAATATGTAAAGATGCATCAATTCATGAACTAAAACCAGTTCCTATGCTCGATACATTTATGGTACAGATGACATCCCAAGACAGCATTGATATTTGATCATCTTTACAAGAGTTATCGTGACCCCCCCCCCCCCAGATAGACGGATAGGCAGAAGGGATAGACGGACAAAGCTAATACATTATCGCTCACAACCTGAGTTAGCCCTCTGCATTGACCCTCCCCATATAAGGGGAACTGTCAACCCAGAGGACCTAACCCAGCTCATTATCCGTTCCCCCCCCTCCCGCCACATTCACCCTCCGTGTATGCCCCCTTCTGTAAGTGCCCGACATAAAATGTATTTGAAAAAATAAATTCAACCCGTGTTAGAACGCGACAAAAATAGTTGGGGCGATGGGGCGGCACAGCGAGGCACATCCGGCTCCGCCGTTCTTACCTCGTGGCCTCCTCCTTCACGTCCAGCGCCGCGTCCTTGGTGTCCAGCAGCGCCAGCAGGCCAAGCAGGAAGCCGAACCACAGGTTAGCGAGGCTCCCGCCGGCACGCTCCATGGAGAAGTAGTAGCAGAGCACGCACGCGAGCGCCAGCACGAGCAGGCCGAGCACGAACAGCACGAGCAGCAGCGCGTTGTCCGTGCGCTCCCAGCGCGCAAACAGCCCCACGCACACGGCAACCAGCAGCGTCACGTCAGCCAGGAGGCCCAGGTACCGCACCGACGCGCGCATTCCTGCCGCGTCGCCACTGCCAGCTCGGCCCGCGCCGCCGTCGTCGCCGCCCGCTGCCGCCATGCCAGGCGTTGCGTCCTGCAGCTTGGTCATGAGGGCGCGCAGGCAGTGGCTGACCAGGTAGCGGGGAGACCGCAACATGGACGCCAGCTGCGGTGGCTTAGCGGCGATCCAGATTGCATAACCCGCGTCCGTGAGGTGCCCTCACTTTGGCTGCTGGTGTGCTTTTTGTTGCTGTGGTTGTGTTGGAGGGGTCTTTTGTTGTTGTTTAATTCGTTTTTAAGATTCGGCGGCTTCAGTCCACCATGATCGCGTGGTGGCCCCAAGGTTCCTTTGCGACTGAAAATGCAAAACGCGTTATTTCGGTGATAAAAAGGTGAATATGAACAGAGGTGGCTGGATGGCTCAGGACAGAAATACGGAGTCGGCACCGTTAAGATCCCAGGCTCAAACATGGGTTTCAGTCACCCATGATTTAACCAAGTCCTAAAATGATGGTCTCATTAGCACAACCACAAAGTATATAAAATATTAGACTTAATTTTTAATAAAAACATTTTTTTTAAAGAAAAGTGCAACGAATGTCTAGGAAAAATACAATCACTTAAGGGATATTATAAGAATTTCTGTAAAAAAAATGCGCTCCTGCCAGTCACTCTCTAACAAAGTAGATGCGCTGGTCTGTGAAAAAGAGTTATGAACGGTGACGTTTAGCCAATAGATGTAATGTAAAACGAACCTGAAGCACATCAATCGTTCAACTAAATGCGCTGCTAATCCCTTGACACGCGCAGCCTTGCAGAAATATCTACAGCTGATTAATTTATGTGGGATATTGATAGGAATCTGAAAACCACGAAACCACAGCTATTGTTTACGCAATTGTATTTTTACACGCTTTTATTTAACTCACTCTGTCTGTTGTTGTCGTTGTATCCTCAAATCTTGTAACTCAATTTTAACCCACTTCCCAATGTGGTATCGACTGCAAACTTGGAGTCTTTCCATTACTAGTATGGTACATTTTATTAAAGCGTGTTTAAAAAAAAGTGCTTTTAAATATTACTTATTTTTTGTTAAACTCTACCACAGAGGCATGCAATATGACTAAGCCACACTTTACCCAATCCCACCAGGTTGAGCCTGTATAGTGCTTGGATAGGCAACCACCGTGCATAAAAGGGGTTATAGGCTGCGGAGCAAAGTGGACAGCAAACAGCCGTGCAGCAACATAGATCGTTGTGACTCTATTACTCTGCTCACATGTCTATGCCCCATAGCTTCACGAACCCGCACCGACCGGCCCGATATGAAGTCAAATAATCCCAGAGGGTGAGGAGGGCCGCGCTAAGTTGTTGTGAAATTTACAAGAGGGTTGTACAAAGTCAACAGGTTATCAACGGCCACTACTGTCAACATGACCACACCTCAACATTGATTCCTTCCGTCTGCTACAATTGTGCGTCAATTGTTCGACAATTGACGTACACAAATGTACCGGGTCCGTGAATGTATTCCAACACTGTGGTTGATTAAGTGGCAGTTAAAATACAAACTAAACTATGTTTATTTTACCAGGTAAGGCTCCACTGAGTTATTCATGTATAGCTCTTTTTCAGAAGCGACCTGGCCACATATGATAGCACAATTAAGTGGCTTATAACGTGCAAATGTAAAGCAGCCACTCTAAACGCACGTTTGATTTTAAATGTGGAGGGAAAAACCGGAGGACCTAGAAAAAAATTCCACGCGAACACGGTGAGAGAAAGAGAGACACCACAAACTCGAAATATACAGCAGCAGGCGTCAGTATCGGGATCAAACCCACGACCTCCTGTATACCAGGCGAAGTAGTTAACATCTCGGGTTAAAGTGGAGCGGCGGCTCAGTGGTTAGCGCACTGCAGTACGAACTTGAGCTAAATTCCCTGTCACGGCTAACATCAGATCCAAGTGATACCTCACCCGCTCCTGCGCTCCCCTGTCCACCAACCCGCAATGACCAGCGTGGTGAAGTATGGTCAAACAACCCTCTGATGATCAACATGGCGTGGGGGAGGCCTTCATCCAGCAGTGGAGTGTCAAATGGATCTATATTATTAGACAGCTGTAGAAGCAGCAGTTACGAGTGAAAATCAATACTTCAGCACAATACACGTAACTATAGCAGTTATATTGTGCGCTCTTAATAGTGCATTTATTATGCTTCCAGCGATACAATGACATTAATAAACACTCCAAAAATAAATTATAATAATATGACAATATACATATTTAACAATGCTATAATTATACAACAGGCACACGTAAAATAATTACTCTACAATAAAACAACTCTTGCGGCATTTCGAAAGAATTTGAACCGGGAAGTAAAGCTTTGAACCAAGCGCATAGTAAATCATCTTATCACGACCTCTACCGAGGGAAAAACGACTATAGTATAAGGTAATCTGAATAAAATAAATCGATTATAATTTGTATCAAAGTGAGATTAACGGCAACTCGGATAGATAGGCCACGTACTGTGGGCCTCGGGCAGTGGGTAGCACTTACTGTCGAACAGACCGCTTTGTTTCGCGTGACCATGCGCCTACCGTGACAACGATGCCGCTGATGTTGTTGTTGATGTTGACGACGACGACGACAGCAGAGGTCAGCTCGGGTTAATTGACGATAATTATTAATTAGCGCCTTACAGTGGAACCCCCATGTACAGTAGAGTGGCTGCCTCGGCCGCGTCTTCCGGCAGAGATCTACTGCTTCTGGAAGATGACTCTGCCTCTTCTGGAAGATAACTCTGCATCTTCTGGAAGATGACCCTGCCTCTTCTGGAAGATGACTCTGCCTCTTCTGGAAGAAAACTCTGCCTCTTCTGGAAGATGACTCTGCCTCTTCTGGAAGATGACTCTGCCTCTTCTGGAAGATAACTCTGCCTCTTCTGGAAGATAATCTGCTTCTTCTGGAAGATGTCTCTAACTCTTCTGGAAGATGACTGTGCCTCTTCTGGAATGCTCTGCCTCTTCTGGAAGATGACACTGGCACTTCCGGAAGAAAACTCTAGCACTTCTGGCAGGTCTCCACCTCTTCTGGAAGATGACTCTGCCTCTTCTGGAAGATGACTCTGCCTCTTCTGGAAGATGACTCTGCCTCTTCTGGAAGATGACTCTGCCTCTTCTGGAAGATGACACTGGCACTTCCGGAAGAAGACTCTAGCACTTCTGGCAGATCTCCGCCTCTTCTGGAAGAAATCTCTGCCTCTTCTGGAAGATCACTCTGCCTCTTCTGGAAGATGTCTATAACTCTTCTGGAAGTTGACTCTGCCTCTTCTGGAAGATGACTCTGCCTCTTCTGGAAGGTGACACTGGCACTTCCGGAAGAAGACTCGAGCACTTCTGGCAGGTCTCCACCTTCTTCACCTGAAGACGGCTGCTTGCGTTGTAGCCGAAACGTCGTGAGAATTATCTTATTTTATTATGTTTTATTTTTATTATTTTATTACTTCCCTTCTACGTGACTTTACCGAAAGAACCAAGAAGAGGTCTCCACCTCTTCTGGAAGATGACTCTGCCTCTTCTGGAAGCTGTCTCTAACTCTTCTGGCAGATCTCTCTAACTCTTCTGGAAGATGCATCTGCCTCTTCCGGGAGAACGTTCATCCTACAAAGTCCCACCTCAGGGGAGAGACACGAACTCTACAAATGTGTGCCCGTTTTGAAACTGTTGTACGCCGTATGGACCTGAAAATTAAATTTCCCTGTACCAGAATATGGGCAAACCAGGGCCTCTGGTTACCCTCTGGTAATCACGTGTTTGGTAACACACGGTCACCCTTCCACGTTCAGGGAAAAAAAATTAACCCGTAAAAAACAAAGCTTTTCACTATAAATCCTTTATATGCGTGGCGGCTAGAGTCCTCTCGTCCTCTGGCTTGAGATGGCTGCCACCTATGGGTCAGATGATTGTCTGGCACCATTAAGCAATTGGTAATTAAATATTTTAAAAAAATTCCCTAGTGTCAAATTTTGGACAAATTTTTCACGAAAATTAATTGTCACGCACAACAGGTCTGTGTGCAAAATGTCAGCTCGATTGGATCACGGGAAGTGGGTTAAAAAACGACCGAAAGATTTGCACGGTCGTAAGCAAGCAAGCACGCAAGCAAGCAAGCAAACTTAATATAAAGGATTAAATAAAGCACCTCACACGTTTGCTTTGATTTTTTTTTGCATAAATTGTAGAATTTAACTCGTGGGCTTTCGCGACCAACGTTATGATTGAGTTGATTTTAAAACGTTTGTCGTAAACCCTCCTCCACCCGACACAGCCAATTAACCAGGGGCGGTTTCTTCATTAGGGCGATTGGGCGACGCACCACCAATGTCATTGAACCACAGAGTCACGCTAGCCGTCACTGCAGCCTCTGGATATAGTCCAATCAGCGTCATGTCACGTTCTGTGGAGTACCGCCTCTTTTTGGGCGATTTCACTCCGGCTGAGAATCGCCCCGAGTGGCCCCATAGATTCTAGATTTGAAGCTTTCGTGACTGCAAGGATTCATAATCTTAGGTTTTTTCGGTAAAGTCACGTACCTACGTACCTACGTGACTTTACCGAAAAAACCTAAGCTTATGGCCCCATAGACTTACATTCAAAGATGTTTTTTTTCGAACGGCGGGCGCTGCAATGCATTCTCTATGGCTTCCGGGAGGGCTCGCACTAACGTGCTTACGTCATCATACGTAAGCACGTTTCAGTCAACAATATTATTTGTCGCCACCTAGTGGAATATTTAATAAAATAAACTGAGTGGATTGTAATAAGTGAGTATAGAAACAAACAAGATGTATTGTAAGAGTTACTTTATTTTTAATTAATATTAAAGAAGTGAAGTTGCCTTTACATGCTTAAGCTGTTAATTTATCCATTGCATGAGTGGACCTTATCCTTATCAATCATCCAGACATTTGCCCCCCCTGAGAGATTTTGCAGGAGCCGCCACTGCAATTAACGGAGTCGTTACGTCAACAAAAGTGCCAACAATGAGCATGCGTACAAAGTGTTAGTGCGTCAGCACCACCCGTGTGTTTGAGAGTGATGTGACATTTAACAATTGGGTATGCCGCACCGTCGATAGACCCTACTTTCACGACACACATTCTACTACTTACACGATCTCCACAAAAAACGATTGTCACAGAATGTTTCTCATTGATAATTATGATTAATTAGCTTGTTTTGCTCGTCCTAGGACGGAAGCTGTAATATTTACGAAAAATTGAGCAGAGTATAATTGTATCTTGTGTAAATTTAATGGCAGTGAATCTTGCACAAAACTGTCATCAAACACCTCACTTCATGTCACTGTAGCACTGTTAATAACCGACCTTCATTCAGACGCTGTCTCACCGACAGACCTGGTCTTCACCTGATGACGGCTGCTTGCGTTGTGGCCGAAACGTCGTGAGAATTATTTTATTATGTTTTATTTTTATTATTTTTATTGTTTCCATTCTACGTGACTTTACCGAAAGAACCAAGAAGATGAATCCCTGCAGTCACGAAAGCTTTAAATCGAAATTTGACCTTCAATTTGTTCAAATTCACTGCGGATACTTTATTCTCTTCTGCTTTCGGTCGCTGGGGTTGAAATAAATTGGAATTCGATACAATATCTGGAAAATCACCAAGAAATGTCCATTTTACCATCATGTAGAAGCATCAATTAGACTTACCTTTGGTCTCAAGTGCTGAAGAAATAAATAAAGACACCAAATCCACTTTGTTGCTGCGTAGAATTATTTATTAGATTCATTTTCAATAAAGAAACGTCAAACTTAAAGCGATTTTTTTTTAATTTCCGCTCGACCTTCCGCTTGAGTGCAAAAATCCACCCGCTCATGAATATTAATGACGTGGTAACGTCACTCGCGTTACACACAAACATTCTTGGCTCATTGTCGGAGTAATACAATGTCTGCCCAGGAAAGCCCGAGTCTCCGGGCTCTTTTCTTTCAGGAGGGTCCTGCCAAGTTTTGGCAGTCGGGGGTTGACGATTGCTTAGCATGTGTGAAAGAGCTTCATAGCTCATCGGATTCCTACAGTATAAATAAACATTCCGATTCTGATTGCAGTGTGCATTCTAATTGAGTAATTTCCAGGTCGTCATAAAAGTACCCAAATTTAGCAAATTTGGGCCACGTCTGCACATGACAAAATTATTTTTCCGAATTACGCCACAGGGTCTTTTTGTCATGCTTATTAACACCCAGTGCTAACCAGGGCAGCCACTGGATTCGAACCACGTACCTCTTGCAACAAGCGACGAATATGCAACCACGAGGCCACGTCACCACCCTACGACTGCTTGGCGCACATCACTTTGTTGCCATAATGAAATCCAATTCGTAATCGTCTGTGCAGAATATAGTAGATGCTATTTCACGTTCCACCAGTTGATGGCAATGCAATTACTGAAAAATGATCATGCTGCCTTCCAACCAGGCACTTATTTAAAATGGGAAAATCAGGCGTGCAGACCTGGTGTATGCATTACTCTCTCAACCGAGTTGGACAAAATTACGAAAAGCTACTTTGGACAAGTGCTGTGCTACAATTCGTGAATATAACAAAATTAGAGCTCTTTGTCAATCGACCGATGGATCAACCACCTACCCCCGCGCCGTCAGCCATGGTCGTCGTTTTGACTTTTGACCATACTTCACCATGCTTGTTTTTTGTGGATTGATTAAAAGGAGTGGCCCAATACCAGTTAGCAGCTGCTGCTGCTGCTGTGAATTCAATTCGGGTCGCGATGTTCACATCAAACAAAAATACGCGAACCACTCCAACCACGGCTTAAAAAAAATAAGAAACGCACAAATTCACGCTCCCGTAATTTTCAGGAGCGTTGTTTTATTCAAGTGATTTATAAGAAGCATCTCAAAAATAAACCACGCGCACTTCCTCTTTTACACTTGGCACTTTTATTTAACATCTAAAAAAAACAAATGTCATGTCAAGGTAACACAGATTTAAATTCTATTCTAACACGCCGGTTTTTTTTTTAGCCGTGGCACATGTTTATATGCCAGAGGTCCTACCGGTCTTATCAAACTTAACAAAACACCTTTTTTTTCACGAAACTGTATCAGCATTGACATGTGAACAGATGTCAAATTTATACACATTTGGTTTGAAAATGAAAAGCAAATCTAGCTGCAATTTTTTCTCTTAAACATATAATGACACATTGCTCTCACCAATGTTAACAACCAATCCTTTAACTCTTAATGATACGTTTATGCATACTGAAGTGAACAAACGACTGTTATCACTAATTCCCCCCCACCCCCAACAATTATTTTAAGAATAATAATGACAAAGGACACAACGAGATGACCTGTGCAAATTTTTCACCGTTTCCCCAATTAACACGGTGTGGCTATTTGGACTATCATTAGAATGCCAGTTGTATGCAGCTGTCGTAAAGCATGCACCCTCCCTCTTTAATGTGCAAAATGAAGAAAATAGTGTTTTTGAAACACATTTAGCATGTTGCATACTGCACAGATCTCAATATCGTGCGTAACGCTCCCACCCCCCCCCCCGCCCAATGTATCATGGAAAAATACCCGCAGCTCAGAACGCTACTTTCAGATGCAATAGTTGTTAGACCAGCTAAGAAATATCGTGTCAGCAGCCATGTGTGATTGGTCCAAACATGCCAAGGTGAGGGGGGGGTAACCTGGCCGAAACCTAAACCTGTGAGATGGAAGAGAAAGGTAATGTAGCTTTGCACAGCTGGATTTGGATGTCCGCTTGTGAAACCAGATGGGAGATAATCGTTTTATTTACCGTTCTGCACGAGACCTGGTGAACTGTACCTTTGTAAGGGCAGTGCGGCGTTTCTTGTTGTCATAAATGCAGGCCCATTCATTTTTAAGTTGGGCTTCCAGCACACAATTTTCCTACACTTGCATTGACAGTTATATAAATGTGATGATAATCCAATGAGTCATGGGCCATTGCGTATTTGGCGCCAGAGCTCAGTCCAAATTAAAAAAAATGTTTTGAAAAGGAAACTGTTAAATTATTCAGTACCATGTTTACAAGCAGGTCTTCTGTACAGAAAAGAGATCATTTCAATGGCTTGTCACCTGGTTACACAACACATGATTTACTTAATTGCACATTAAGAGCACTGGTTTAGCATTTGCTGGGTAAATGGGGACACGAGCGAGCTGTTAAAAATCACCTCTTCATCCCAGTCCTCACTCAACGAAGGTCATCTCATGTGAGCCGAGGTGAATCCAAAAATACTGCAAATCTCCTTTGCCCAACCCAGCATAAAAAAATACGCTGCCCCCTAATCTAGTATACCTAGTATACAAACAAACCTAGCATCACAATATGGATTTTCCTAATTGAGTACGGCACGCTGAATTGGAAAAAAACACACGTGCGCCGCACCATAGCTGAAAAATATTCCACTTAAAAATGGTATTTTGAAAACTATCGGCTGTAGGTTTCTCACCTCTGCCAGGCGTTTCCTCATTTCAGTGCTTGTTGATTGTGTTCATCAGACGGCCAGCCCGAATTGGCCGTGTGGAACGAATAAATACGTTGTGCATCAATGCAATGCGGGCCTTTCAGTGACCTGCGTTCTTCATTTCCATAACGAGCAGCAGGTTGAACACCAAAAGCATCGTCTTGTAGTGGGACGTACGTACATCTCTGAAAGCACCACCATCGCAAGAGGCTGCTGCCAGCAGAGGACTGTGCAATTTAAAGAGAAACCTTTCAAACGACAAACCCATAAAGTATAAAGAGGGGGGCAGGGGAACCTTGAAAGTGCACCGACACACAAAAAGGCTCTCAAAAATCTCCTGGGCTTTGCAGTAAAAATTCTTATTTGTATATTTATTGCTTTGAATTTCAAAATGTTTAGCATGGTGGGTGGACAGAAGGGAACGACCATTGTCAGGAGCTTCTGTTTGTTTGCAAATGTGACCCTGCAGAATCTTTAAGACTTTGGCCACCACAACATCCCACAGCTTCATCTCTCAACTCGCAGACTTAAAGTGCTGCCTCTACTTTGTTTAAAGGCTAACAAAATTGCTGGCAGGGAAACAAAAGTGGCGCATTTTTATAACCTGCCCCGATTTCACGCACGGCAAAACTAAACGCAGAGATAATGAAAGAACCAGAGGACACGTCGTAGATGTGAAAATAAGCAAAAAAACATACATAAAGTGAAAACATCAAAAACAAGTCTAACATCTATATTTAGGCAAGGTAAACAATAGCAAACGGTGTAAAAATATTAGAAAACTGGCTACAAAAAGAAAAACTCTCATAAACCTTCTTCGGCTCCACTCTACTCTTACAACTTTCTTCCTATCGGAAGAAGAACACCATAACTCTTTCTGCTGCGGTGGAAGAAGGCAGCTGTATAAAGCACAATGACCAAGGGGAGAGAGGGGTGCGCGCATGAACAGAGAAGGCACCCACCTCCCCCGTCTACCCCGCCTCCTCTCGCATCAGGCCAATAGCAGGATGGGATCATCCATTTCGTGGAACTGCAACGAGCTCGCCTGGCTCTCCTCCGAGTCCGAGTCGTTGAGGCTCGCCGGAAAAGCGGCCAGATCCGGGAGCTCGGAGAAGCCGTCTGCCAAGAGCCTGTCCTCAAAGAGCGACCGCGCCGAGGGGTGTTCACCAAGGCCCATTTCGCCGCCCCCGTTCTCCCCGCGCTCCGTGTCCTCCCACGTGAAGTCCTGCGGGATGTACAGCATCTCCGGGTAGTTGTGGCTAAGCAGGTCGCTCGAATGCTGGTTGGTGACCTTCCTGAAGGCCATCAAGTGCATGTGCGAGGCCTTCACGTATCTGTCAGGACAACGGCAAAGGGGGGGAGGGGGGGGGAGAAGTGGAAATTACATCTCAAGAAGGAGCTATGGACTTTAGATGAGCTTAAAAATCGCTGCACATTGTTCATGTCATGTTCACAATGGCAGATCTCTGCACAGAAATAAGAAATGCACCATAGCACGTTAGGGGTAATGCAGCAACGTCAACTTTTGTATTGTACTTTTAATCTCTCACAATCTACGTTCCACATATACAACAGGCGTCAGGGTCGGGATCGAACCCAAAACCTCCTGCATACCAAGGAAGGTAGTTAACATTTCGCCACCGTGGGTGCCACGGTGGCGATGTATGACTGCAGTGAGCAAACAGCATTGAGCAGGGTAGTGGGTGAACACTGCAAATGACCCAAACCTCACTTTGGCAACGTCCCCACAAGACCACGTACAGCGTGATCACTCACAAAGCGTTAACAAGCCGTTTGCGTACTGCATGAGTTAAAATCCTCCAGCAAGAATATTTCTCATGCAAGACCTAAGGACGGTGAATATATATAAAAGGTGGTCATATTCAAAATGTTTGATGATTGAGTTTGTTTATTATGGATATTGGTCGCGAAAGCCTACGTGTCAAACTTGTTTCCCGTTGTTAAATCATGCCTAACCATGACATTATTAGCCTAATCGAAGGATGTTTAGAGATTCACATTCTGCGCCTAAATGTATATGCGTCGATACAATTAGATATATTTATAATTACCCAGAATGTGTTTGGTTTCGTCAGGTCTTATAAGCCAAGCCGGCTTGGGCCTGGATAGTGATGGGAATGACAACTAGCATGTATGAAAAAAAAATAAGGTGATGTAGGTTGCTGCAGGGCAACGTCGTCTACGGACGACAATACAGTAAAATACTTTATTATACTGTACAATGCTACCACATCTACGTTTGCCACCTACAAAATAAATAACCATCATGGCCAAACTATGACGTGGGGAGGCCCTGACCCAGCAGTGGATTAACACGAGGCGCTCTGCGAGGACAAAACACGAGGCCGCGAAAGGGTAACGGACGTGCGGCGTTGGCGGGGGCGGCTACCTCCAGCGCTTGAATCCCAGCGCCTCGATCGCCAGACGCCAGCTGCGCACCATGCCCGCGTGGCGACCCGCGTGGCTCGAGTCGGGCGTGACGATGAGCAGCAGGCCGTCCGGCGCCAGCAGGCCGTGGGCCGTCTGGCAGCAGAGCCAGCGCTGGCACGGCGACGGGAAGTAGGAGAGCAGCAGCGAGAAGACGACCGTGTGGAAGAGCTCGCGCGGCAGCGAGCGCACCACGGGGCCCGGCAGCTGCCGCAGGAAGGCGTCCTGGCTCTCGGGCGCCAGCTGCAGCGGCGCGTCCAACTGCAGGTTGAGGAAGTCGCAGCGGAAGACGCTCTGCGGAGAGAGCGTGGCGCAGGTGAAAGGACCGTCGCGCTACTTGTATGTCAATTCTTCTTCAACGACATCTGGCCCATCGTCTGATGAAGCTGGTTGTTGTAATCGCCACGTCACGGACTTAAAATGGTAAATGTTGTGGGTTTACTCTCCAGCACACCGGTGTGCTTGGAGTATTAACGAATTGGCACGTTCTGTTTACGTGACAAACCTTACTAATTGGCTGTGTCGGGTGGTGCCGGTTTTAAAGATGCATTTATATTTACGCGTTATAACCAAAAAACCTTCATTACAGATATTGATTATTTGTAGGCTGCATATGAGCAAATACATGTATGTTAAACTTCTTTCGCACCGTACGTTGCAAACCATGCTAATCGGAGGTACAGACGAAGGATAACAAATTAAACACAAAAAGCAGTTCCAAAGAAATTTGTTTTTAATCTCGATTATTTAAAAGTGCATAGCTCCAGTAGGCTTCCTAATATCGGAAGAGCGTTCCAGACGACCGCAGAAGCATATCTGAAAGGACACGATGCAGTCCGATCCTCTCAGACCTCAGAAGCTAAGCATGAGTGAGCCTGGTGAAGGCTTGGATGAGCAACCACCATGCACAAAACGGGTGTTACAGGCTGCAGGCTACGTTGTGGGCGGCGGGGGGCAGAGGAGATAAAGATATCGTCGTCCTGTACTTCAATTGCTCATGCCTCACAGCCAGCATGGTGTGGGGAGGCCCTCATTCAGCAGTGGATTTACAAAAGAGCCATAAACATTTGGCCATAACTGATAATAAATCAAGCACGAACAATCAGAGAAACAAAACAATTAAAATAAAAGTCTTCCCCATCCTGATCTGGAAAGCTCGCAACTTGGAGCTCAGCAACCACCACTTCAAGTCGATGGTACACATCGCAATTAGACACGGAGTGAACGCTCAAGAGAGTGCACGGCCGGTGGGTGTTTGTGGCTAAAGCGAAGAGTGGGGGGATTGCCATACGTCACCCGTGCGAATGGATGGCAACTGTGGACACAGCTGTAGCAGTGACATTGTGGTGAAGGTGAAACGAAGCTTTCGTTGTAAATTTAGTTTCGGCATCAATTACCTTCCATTGACAGAAAAGCTCAAGAGCATATCACTGTCCAGTGTGGAGAACTTGACCAAACTAGCCGAGATTCGAGGTGGCTTCTTCTTGCAATGGACTGAACTTAGCCCTTTGTTAAGCAAAGGCAATTTCGTACAATGATTTGCTGATGTGTGTGTTTAAGCGAACGCATAAAAATAACAGAGGCATGCACGCTGCATTGGGCGTTTTGTTCTCTATTCAATGGTGCCGTCAGTAGAATCTGTGACAGTCTTCCCCCTTAAACTTGTCAAAAATGTTTTGAAGCACACAGGATAATGGCACATTTCCACTGAGAAATGATAAATGACATTCAACTAAGAGATACCGAACATTTCCGCTCCAGGGGTGGCGAGTGATACCGTCAAGAAGCTCTTAACGGCAAGGCGGCGTGACGGAACGTGTTGACAGAGCGGACACAACACCCCGTGCCACTTTATTACCACGTCCTAAAGGACAAACTTCCATCATGTGGCACGTCTGCCGCTGGTCAACCACAACCCGGTGAACCCAAAAGTACTTGACGTGCAACGATGTAGCACACAGTGTACTAAGTGACCAGGGACAACTTTGGCAATGCAAGACCGTGTGCACGTGCGTGTGTGCGTGTTTATGGAGTAAGAGGAGAGGTAGTGTAACGGTTCGTGCGCTGTGCTACAAACTCAGCGACCCGAAATTGATTCCCACTCCCAACATCGGTGATGGAATTTTTGAAATCGTTCTGGGTTTCCCCTAGGTTGACTCAGACTCAAATGAGTACCTTATGCGGTGTGTAAAAAACATACCCACTAGGTCTCCCAAAGGCGGACGGGTGTGGCGCTGACCACCTACTCCCTCGTGTGCCATGCCAGCCTTCATAGGTGCTCACTAACAGCACTCGCCCCAACAGTCTGTTAAGGCATCGTTGCATGTCGCCGTGTGCGGAACTTACCTGGCCAAGGCACGCCACGCGACGTCCTGCCAGGATGCAGTACCAGCCCCGGGGTAAAGGGGGCAAGAAGGGGGACCCACACGAGGACCCCCAGAGGGGGGGCTGAGGGGACCCCGGGCTGGAGGAGGAACCTACGCGTGAGTCCGAAAAGAGAAGTGGCCGAGGGTGGAGGAAGCCCCGCACAGGGGGATAAAAAACCGATCCTCGGTGGGGATCGGGAGCGAGAATTGCGGTGAAGACGCTACGCCCAAGCCTGAAGAGGAGGGGGAGAGTAGGGTGGTTACCCCGTGGCGTGTGTTAGGTTAACTAGATCGGTGGGTTACCACCGTAGCTAACCGGGTAAAGGGGCCGCTACCCCTTTGTGTTAATGTTAATATACGTGTTGCCTCCAGAGCTCGACTGAGTCTCCGTTACACCCACCACAAAAGGCTGTACAGGGATCTTTGTTATCTTTGTTTGTTTATGGAGTGTGGGGAGCGGTACCATAGTAATTATCACACTGCGCCTGGAACCGAGCAAGCCTAAATTCGATTCCCAGGTATGGTTAACATCAGCTGTAATTATTTGAACCGGTTCAGCCCTGGGTCTTAACGAGGTCGTCTCAGCTTTCAATGAGTACCTGATGCAGTGTTACAAACATCAGTATTGGGCAGACAAAGGTGTCCGGGGCATTGCTCTGGTCACACCACCACCTCTTGTGTGCAGTGCCGGCCTTAATTAGGTGTTCGCGAACACCATTTGACCCAAGAGGCTATGGTAGGCTGCACGGGGGATGGCTTTTATTTTTGTGCGCCACAGTAGCGAGATGTTAACTACCTTGCCTGGTATGCAGGAGGTTGTGAGTTCAATCCCAACCCTGGCCGCATGTATATTTGGAGTTTGCATGTTCTCTCCGTGGTCGAGTGGATTTTTCTCTGGGTCCTCCAATTTTTTCTCTCCACATTTAGAACGAACAAGCGTTTAAGAGTATTTGGCTGGTATACATTTCCACACAATAAGCCACTTCGTTGAGCTATCGTTTGAGGCCAGGTCACTTCTAAAAAACAGCTATATAGCTCAGTGGGCCTTTCCTGGTAAAATTTAAATAGTTTCATGGTTTAGTTTTTTTGTTTATGGAGTGGTGAGACTGCACAAATTCACAGCTGGTGAAGCGCCAGGGTAGCGTGCCCATCACCTCGCGTGAGCATCAAAAGAGAATAATATACCGCATCGTCACCGCACCTGGACACTCGGTGCAGCAGAGAACAAAAAAATATAATTTGCACCTAAAAATAGCGCTGCAGAAAAAACTATAATAGGTGACCAACAGCAAGTGGTGTGTGAAGGTCATGTGAGGATAGGGGATGTGGTTATGGTAGGTTTGAGAGTTGCGATTATGATAATGTTCCGTACAGGGTTAAGGTACGGTTACGGTAGGGTTTACTCAGGTGAAGAAACTCTTCCTTCCCGAGGGCCGAATAGAACCTTTGACGATAGGTCAGAAATTAACACAAAGACACACCTTACTGTTCAACAGTAACAATGCGGAAAAAACATAACAGCTCACCTTTACCGCACTAATGCTTGCACACTGACTGCACGCTCACAACTACCTGAAAAACAACCGGTGACCGGACGCACTCAACTTTGAATTTAACCCGTGACACTTAATACTCGAGGCGACAGAATTTAAAGCTTCACCCGATGGTCCCCCTGCTCGGTAAGCGCGCAAGACACAGCCGTGGGGGACAGCGCACGTACATCCACGGCTGGAATGATGTCGATGCCCAGAGCCTGGAACTCGTCGAAGCACAGGAAGGGGTTGAAGCAGCTCCCAACGTCCAGGAGTCGGATCTTTCCCGTGTGCGCTGCGCCACCGCCCGGCCTGCAAAACAGCAGCGCCCCAACCTCAGCTTTACCTCCCCCCCTCGTTTGCCGCGTGCTGCTCACTACTGCAGTCAACTCTCGATTATCCATGCCAATGGGGGTGGGCCCAGGTGAAACTAAAATACGGACAATGTACAATAATACAAGAAGAAAATGTGCTGCACTGCCCTCTGCTTTCTACCACGTATCGTCCCTATAAGAACCTGTTGTTATTGTTAAGTAACAGCCGAAGACAACCTGTTGTGGGATGGTGATCACACTTCTAAGCACTATCCAGAATCAACCCTGCTAAGTGAATAACTCTCACGTGACCTGTATAGCATGGGGAGGGGCCCTCATCTAGCAGTGGATTGACAAAGTGGCTGAATAAGAACAAAAACTATAGCACAAACGTTGCACTGTTTAACTTCAACTCAAGAGTTGCTCCAATGGGCAAAGCAAATAGTCAATTTTGATTATATCGAGGGCATAGGAAGGAGAGGTGTTACAGATACAATAAACATTTATATTGCCAGGTTAATTTTAAAAACACAGATTAAAAAAACCCTACCTACAAAACCAGAAGCGTGAATAATACAGCGACACAAATAAAACACTCAAAAAGCAACAACGCAAAAAAAAAATTGGTGAATGCCCCTGTTTTGAATAATTAAAATACTTGCTTTTAATCAGCGCGATTCATGACTCACAAACAGAAACGCGTTGGGAGCGCTGACGGTCTTGACGCGGTGGGTGAACGCAGGTCACGTCAATCACGCGGCGATGCGTGCGAGGTTAGCGCCACTACACAAAAGGTCTCGTGCACAGCGACGTTTCGCCGTGTCTTTCGCTTGATTACCGTTGTATCTGACATCCGTGCCGGTGGCGCGGAGCCCCCGGACCTCTTGACTTCAAAAACTGCGCGGCGTGGAACGCGCACGCCGCTAATTCCGCACCAATTCCGAAATACCCTTCCCACGGGGCAGCTAACGTGCACGCACGCGTTCATTTCAATTATTTTAAAGACGCTGTAATTTTTTGGCCTTTTTTCATTTTCGCCCAACGCGCACACTCGTGACGTGACCACGGTCTAAATATATATACATGCATGTTACAAAATTATATTAGCAAGGGCGCAGATACAGCCCCGCTATCCTGGCCTTGCACTAAATGCCTCATTACCATTTTAATATGGTGTGCAAATACAAGGCAAGCCTCCAGGAATAAAGTGGGGCGAGAGGACACACAACACATTATTTATGGTCCATTTGATAAGCGGTCCAAATTAAAATAAGAGATTAATTTATTTGTAACATTATTTATTTATCTGCTTGTATGATTGTCTTCGTAACGAGGCACGTCTAAAGTGCGGCTGCATTTTCTCGGCAAATTTGTCCTGACCTCCTCGCGCAATAGCTGTACTTGAGCGAATGGTTATTAATGTGAGGTGTTTTGTCATTGTCAAGAATTGCATTCAAAAACAATAAAAACACAACTATCGGTTTTACCAACTTTCGCCAACACGTACTGATCAGAAAGGTGGAGTATGCTAAAAAAAATCCCCAATTCCGACAAGGCGTGGCGAGGCCTTCATCCAGCAGTGGATTAACAAAGGGGCTACACGTTTTATTAAATATATGCGTTGTATGCAATGGGTTGTCACATAACTATTCACGTTTGAGCAAGGCGCGAGGTTACTAAAATGTTTACGAAATCGATAACAGATTCCATAAACGACTTTTAATTAATGAAGTTAAAAAAGTATTCCTGAATATTTTCGAGAATATACATTTTTGGTAATATGCATTAAGACATTAACCTTTGGAAGCCAAGACGTGGGCAGTGAGCTTACTGCACTCTTTATCACGCATTCAGGCACTCCATCCACACCCATGGTACATATGCAGAGCTTGTATACTAACAAAGCATATTCCAGCTCAATTGCCAATCTCCGGCTGGATGAAGACCGGGTCGTGGAGGCTGTTTCACCAAACTGCACCACGGTGGGTCAGTGCAGACTGCTGCAAGGGAAGACCAAGACTGGTTCAGATATCACCCGCCAATTATGTGAGTCGTCGCCGTTAAGCTAACTTGGGTGACCAGTTTTGTAGTCTGGTGCACTACTAACCACTTCGACAACGCTCCCCCTTATTAGAGATTGTTCCCCTTGAAAAATACAACACGAAAGGACACAATTGTACAACCTGTTCATAGCCAATATGCAAAGTGTTAAAACAAAAATAACAAATGGCCTTTATTTTTAACCAGATTATGTAAGACTAACAGTTAATAATGTCAGATTATTACAGAGGAGGCTTCCGTGCAATATCTCAAAGGTTTCTGACTGCTCGCGCATGCGTGGAGTAATTTCTGACATCAGAATATTTATTTATATTGGAGGAATTTGATGAGCTATGAAGCTCTTTTTCACAGATGTCCAGTCGAGGCAGGTAAGAACGTTACAACAACAAACAATACAACAACACAATAGTAGTGCAAAGTACAAGAAAGGTAAACAAATCACCCTAAAACACACACAAATACAACTAAATCATCCCCATCCTAGCACACAAAGCTCACTGAGGTATCAACTTATTTTTCAAAAGCGACCTGGCCACAAATGATAGCTCAACAGTGGCTTATCGTTTGGACATTCATAGCAACAAACTAATCTCAATTAATCCGTCTAGACAACGTGTATATTGTAAATGTTAACTTTCTCAAACGTGTATACAGATATACTGCGGACCAACCCAAGAGAAACAATGAATTTAACGTTCTCTTCGGGTTATTCTTAAAAGAGCATAACATGAATGCCTGGCAAGACTAACAAATGCATTACCATTTTTTCTTTCAATAGCTAGATTCTGAAATAATGGTAGGTCATTATTTTAATGCTCGAAGCAGCCAACCTAAAAAAAAATACTAAGCAGTGTTTGGCTCCCGTTTGTGTAAACAACGTGTTTCAGCATTAAGTTGATAAGGTGCGCATTTAATGGGGAGTACAAACTTACAACACAACGACCACATCAACAACATGCCAAACAAATGTCTTGTTAAACAATAAGTGTCCCTAAATAACGTGGATGAATGCAACACAATGATAAGGCTCTCTCCTCATTACATAAATAAAGTATGTTATTTCAAGTCAAACCAATTTATTCTCCATGTAGCTAACTTTTCCCAGACCTCCCTCCTGCTGTTTTAGTTTTTTGTAATTGTGTTTTGTATCCCTCTGTGGACGTAAAATGTCACTCATGTCCTTGTTTAATACAGATCTCCCTTCAACTATGAACTTTTAGTCTCAAGGGGCTCTCACCTGGTTATACACGATTATGATGAGGACTATGACAATGCAGATGCTCCTGATTGTTCAAAGGCAGACACTGATGAGGATACTCCTAAAGTGAATGTTGTTGCTGCTGCTGACGATGATGATAATGATGCTATGATGAAGTTACTGATGTTGATGATCGATAATGCTGTTGCTAAAGAAGACTGATGGTGATGCTGATGTAGCTGATTATGAAGGTGGCAACGATGTTTATTAGATGTTACTGGTGCTAATGGCGTTGCTTCTAGTAACAATGTACATATACGTCATCAGTTTTTCTTCCAATTGAGTTCCAATGACGTAGGTGTATGTCATTTTTATCGGTACGTCTTCAGGTCGGAAGACGTGGCAAGGCTCCCACAAGGCCATGCGGGAGAGCGTGTGGCAGTTTGGCGCCAGCTATTATAGCGTGAGGTCGTGTCGCTACAAAACAATGGCACTCCGCCTCGCTAAATAAAATTCACACGAACCGCTTGCGCGTTCCGAGATTCGGCGGTGAACGGGACACCCACACTGCAACCTGAGAGACGTCTTGAATCGGGAAAGGGTGTCAAGCACAGGGGACAGGCAGGTGGCTGCAGACTCACTGGCGTCGAGGCGGCTGAAGAGAAGCCTCGAGCGGGCTACCGTACGGGGAGAACGCGCCGCTCGCTCCTCTGTCCGACGGACGCCATCGCTCGGACACGCTGCCCCCCATCCCGCCGCCATTGGACGTCCCGCACGAGCCGCCATCGCCCCCCCACCAAGGTGGCTTGGCCTCCGCGTCAACACTGCGGTGAGAATGTCACGGTCAACAAGGGCACAACAACATCCCTCTCAGCGGTCGCCTCATTTTCCACCTTCCGGCATTTATCCACTGCTGGATACAGGCCACTGCACGCCGTCGTCAATGCCTCTGGTGCCGCTACAACCCGCGCTAAGCTGCAATCCATCTTATTCGTGGTTGAGCCCTGAGAGTGAAATCGATATACTAATATCATGTTGCTTTACCGCAGCACAATTTAAAATATCTCCCCCATCAGCTCCCCAGGCCACCCTGCAATGTGAACGCTCTGTGTTGTAAGTTTATGCACATACACGAGGAGCGTCGTGTTTAGTTCCCACGACAGAGTGGCTCCCTCGACATCTTTCACGTAACTTGATGTTATCTGCCAGCTCACATAGCTCCCAGCTCTTGGTGACCGTCGCCAGCTGGAGACGGTGCGAGCTTTAATTAGCAGGGGGGCGAACTCAATAAGTACAACAGAGTTTGGATTGAAAAGCGGTGTAAATGTGCCCCGCTCATTTCAAGAGAGAAAAAGCCAGCGATTTTATTTCAAGAGGAGAAGCAGTACAGATGGCCGGGGAAAGAAAGTTCAAGACTATGTAGATTGAGCAAATGTTGACCGGGAGCTTCAGCAGAAAGTATTGGTTGTCGGAGCATAGCTTGTGTGTGGCAGGGAGAATCGTCAGATGAGAAGGGAGAGGTAAGCAGGGGGCGATAGTCTACGGAGGGTCTTGAAAACCATGGATGCGATTTTAGAAATTGATCCAGGGATAGCGTTGGGAGCTAGTGGAGGGATCGGGATATCTGGGTGACGGTGACGTGGAGCTCTCAAACGTACGTCCTCGCACTGGAGATGTGCCTGGGGCTGTAGGCGACCCGAGTAGCTGTGCCTTCTCCTCCACCGCAGCTCGTGACCTGCCTCCGCCGCTCATCCTTCGCCAGGGCCCTCTCCATCCCGCCGCTCAGAAAGTATTCCAGACAAACGCTGCAGGACAAAACCACGCACACAAACACACACAACGCTCACGTGTTTACAGACGTCGTCAGCGAGGGGGGCAAAGCAACGACACGGCACCAGCAGTGCCGGTAAGATCCGAAGGCCCATCTCGTAACATTCCTCGCCGCTTGGACATTAGAAGAAAAAAAACATCAACATTATCTGAAATGGATGAACACTGAAAATGTTATTATAATTGACATATAACGTTTTCAAAGACAGATGGAGATGATCTTAAATGCTATTTGAGGGAGCTGTTCACAGTGGTTAGAAAACTACATTACGAACCCGGCACTTTGGGTTCGATTCCTGTGCACGGCTAACATTAGTGGCGAGCGGCATCTGAACCGGTCCTAGCGGGACCTTCTTAACTCTCAGTAACCAATGTGGTGAAGTACGTTCAAACAACCCACAGAGCCAACGTGGCATGAGGACTTCATTGTGAAATTAAATGACAAAGGTCTGTAAATTCTTATTTTAAAATGTATTATAAAAAAATGTAATTCAATATATGCTGTATAGTCAAGCACCGGACATGATAATCAGGTCCTTACCCACACGAAACATGCATCGAATCGTGCTTGTAAAAACGATTTTATTCGTATTCATGCACGTTATATGCAAACGCAATGTTCATGTTAGACTTGGGATAATGCAGTGAACAAAACTGCACGACCGAGACAGGAAAAACAACAATAAATTAAGAACGCCAAATATATCCGCATGACCGAATCACCCGGCATGCGCCACCATGTCGTCAGATCTTGGAAGCTAAACGGGGTTGAGCCTGAATAGTGCTGGGATGGATGACTGCAATGCAATAACAGGTTGCTACAGGCTCTTGCGATGCTACGTAGTGGGTTGCAGAGGGCAGTGCAGCAAATATCCATTGGTGACCATTATTTACATGCTCCCGTGTGTATATACTTCCCATATTTACAAGGGGGCTTATTGTGTGCACGTACAGCTAAAATTAGGCCAAATATATACTGGATAATTTAATTGAATCGCTGCTTCAAATCGTCATCCGTTCATGCAGCTGGTGGGCGAAAAAAGTTTCATGCCGAGAAAACATGGCGACTACATTCATGCCAAAGTGCGTGTGTAAACCGTGCGTTCATGGCAGTTGGGCTTATGCCAAAGAAGGAAAAGTACGTGACAAATACATGGCAGCAGAAAGGACTGTAAAAAAGCCACGTAAATGAAATCACGATTCAGTTTGCTCATCATCTATCGGACTCGGGGAGCCCATGACATAGCAAGCCGCGACACCGCTGTGAGCCCTTTTGCTCAAAGGGGTGGAGGGCTGTCAAAATGCCTCCTCACTGGGGAAGCACACCACGCAGTCAAACGAAGGCTTTTCAAGAAAAGTTTACAGCAAAACGAATATTGCTTTGATGGAAAACATTTTGAGTGAACTCTGGCAGCTCCTTGCATAACGAACTTGGCCTCCCTCTCTCTCCCTCCGTAAACCGCAAAACAAGCAAACGGTGTAAACAAGATACAATTAGAATTTGGCTAAAGAACATGTGAAGCCTCCAGGGCCAATTGTTATTGGCATGGAGTCGGATTCATCTTTTTTTATTAATCAAATACGTCTATAGCTACATCCGGATTTTATTTAGGGATAATTATAAGTGGCCGTGAAAAAAACAAGAGATGGGGGTTTTTACTGGAAGAAGTTTTCTCTCTTTGTCTCAAGGTAATAATGAGACTACAAGGGGGACCATCCGTCTCCTCCAGCTCCAAGGCATTGGAACCGAAGTGCACGCCATATCTCCGACGCAGCACTTTTAAAGTTCCTGTACACAACTTGGCTATCACGTGCAAGATTATCCATGCATAGTAATCCGTAACTCTGTACGAGAGGTCACGTAACCAGGTGCACATTAAACCTGCCGCATTTATGGTTATACATAAAATAGGTTGTCACGTGAAACTCACTGCCTCTCGCAACTTCATTGTGGGATTGGCTGTGAAGTTTAAGCCTTGTCCTGTAATATGAATCCGTCTTACACAGCAACAGTACAATTTCTGCTATCTGAGGCCCTAATACCCGCCACTCCAGTTGCTCATGCCACCAATTAATCTGCAGAAACTCCCATTCGCGACGCAAAGATTCTTCTCACTATCCGCAATTGTCTGCAGGCAAGAGCAGCCACCCACCAAATTCATCCTATTGTTCATTGCCAAATGTGCCAATGTTAACATTACAGCCCCTTTGTCATTCCACTGGTGGACGAAGGCCTCCCCACCACACTGTGTCGGTGTTGTGAGGGGGTTTGTTTTGTTTCGATTTAAAGCTTTCGTGACTGCAGGGATTCATCTTCTTGGTTTTTTCGGTAAAGTCACGTAGAAGGGAAGCAATAAAATAATAAAAATAAAACATAATAAAATAATTCTCACGACGTTTCGGCTACAACGCAAGCAGCCATCTTCAGGTGAAGAATGAGACACTGCCAAGCTAGGAGCTTATATATAAGCTGAGTTGGAGGTGGAAGAAGAAGAGAGCCTTAACAAAAGAATGTGCATATCAAGAGGAATTTAGCATATTCATGGGAAATGCGTAGGAGGTGGGCGGGGGGGTTTGTTTTGGTCGTGCTTCATGCTGGCCTTGTGCTGGGTTGGAGTCAGGAAAGGAGGCCTAGGACTCAAGTGCAGCTGTAACAGAGTCAATTCTGCAGAAAATATTTCAACATGATCCAGTCAATAGCGGCTCCTCACCCACCCACCCCCACACACGCACCCCCAGCATCACCGTGGACTGCATGTTCAGAAGTCCTTCACGATTGCTTTGTTTCGATTTAAAGCTTTCGTGACTGCAGGGATTCATCTTCTTGGTTCTTTCGGTAAAGTCACGTAGAAGGGAAATAATAAAATAATAAAAATAAAACATAATAAAATAATTCTCACGACGTTTCGGCCACAACGCAAGCAGCCGTCCTCAGGTGAAAACATGTCTGTCGATAAGACTCTTATCGACAGACATGTTCTTCACCTGAGGACGGCTGCTTGCGTTGTGGCCGAAACGTCGTGAGAATTATTTTATTATGTTTTATTTTTATTATTTTATTATTTCCCTTCTACGTGGCCGAAACGTCGTGAGAATTATTTTATTATGTTTTATTTTTATTATTTTATTACTTCCCTTCTACGTGACTTTACCGAAAGACCAAAAAAGATTGCTTTGTTGTAACATTCTTACCCGCCCCTACAGACCATTTGTGATAAAGAGCTTTACAGCTTATCGGATTCCTCCAGTATAAATAAATATTCAGATTCTGCTAATTGACTAACGATGTCGTTTCTAATCAAAGCTCCTTTAAACGCACCGATTAAGGATGTAATTTTAAGATGAAACCCCTCTCCGACATGTGAGTGTCCCTTTTAACAACTCCACAGCTGCTGCCGTGCATACAAAATCTCCCTGGGTGGACATTTTCACTTAATGATGGCTGCGCATGTTTGGGCAAGAGCATTTTACTCCTTGAGTAACGAAGCACTAAATGCACGCTCTTGCTTCAACTTGGTATTCGCCTAGCGCACGAGATTGTGTCAATCTACGGGCACACGTGAAAAAAAATGCATAAATAAATCTTCGTAATCTTTTAACAGCAAGCCATTTTATAATTTGAGGGTTTTTGTTACACTTTAAAATGTACCCCCGGCGATCCGTCCGGAAAGAAAGTATAAGTGAGTCAATGCGATGAGCACTCTGTGTTCTGCACAACCGCTGAGATGCAATTATCCCAGAGTTGGCTCCATCAAATCGTTTGATTAATGCCAAAAAACACCCCTACCACTCATATTACTGCCAAAAAACCGACTTCGCTACAGCTATTGCCTTGCCTCAACGTTACTTTCCCCCATGTTATCGCCCGCGCGATGGTGTTTGTTCTAAATAGCATGCGGTGTGTCCACGCCCGTATACCAAAAATCAACACTCTCTTTTGCTCATGACGCTCCTTAAGACATGGAACGACAATGTTTCTGTAGCTCACGAGGTAACAATGGTGACCAAACCGGCTTACAGCAATCTTCTAAAGTAGAGGAGCAGCCCCGGCAGTTGCTCGCTCACGCCACTGCTGGCGGAAGGGGCTCACCCCCCTCCACCCCACCAGAGGGAGCTCGAGACAGCCCCTCGTATTTGACCGACTATTACGCTGGCGAGGCGTCTTGGAATCGATGGGAGTAGCCACACTTTACTCCACCACACGCAACCGGGCAATTGACTTACTGTGGTGTACCCCGCTTGGACCCAAAAAGTGACCAACGTAGACGGAAGAAAAAAAGTTGGACACATATACAGGATGGACAACAAAAGTAAAAATCCACGTAACCAAGGGGAGAACATGCAAACTCCAAATAAACAACAGGCGTCAAGGGACGGTTTCAAACTCACACATCGTGTACACCAGGCGAGGTAGTTAACATCTAGCCACCCCCCCCCCCCCGTTCACCCAGGGTGCGTCCGCAACACAGACAGTGCGCTGTGCGGCCACGAGAAAATGCACCCGCCACTGTTTGCTTGACCGTCTGGAGGCCACGTGGGGTCAGGGCAAGGTCTTGGCAGGGTCTGGGCATGGGCAGCACTGCTACTTATACAAGTGGGGGGTGGAGGGTGCTAAATTATGTCATGCCAGAGGGGGTGGTGGGGGGGGTGATTGGTCACCACGGGGTGAAGGGCTGAAGCTGTAAAGTATGGAAAATGAGGTGGCTCAGAGGTGAGAGCGCTGAGCTGGTACCGCTGAGACCTGGGTTCAAATCCAGGTAGCCGGCTGTGAATAAGTGGACAATTTTCCAGCTTTGAGAATTAAAAAAATATATTTTCCTGTCATGTGATGAACATTTCTCTGGATGGCAAAGTGGGTGGTAAAATGCTGCCTTCTACTGTGTGAAGCAGGGGACACTTACGGGGATCTCAACGAGAGCTCTGTGAGATTTGCCTCCGTGGGCCATTCTCTAACGTGAAGGACTGCACTGCTCCG